GGAGCGGCCCGCCTGCTGCCCTCCCCCCGCTTGCTGCCCGGCCGTCAGGCTGACGTGGACCCACCTGTGTGGCCGGCCTCTTGGCTAGTGCCGGTCGGGCTCCGCGGCGTTGACACTTGTCTTAGCTGGGACGGCCTCGGTCGGGGTTGTGCGGGAGTGGCTGGAGGATAGGCCTGAACTGCAACTTTTTAAAGAGTAGGAACATTAGCAAATTTCTTTAACAGTTTAGCGTGTCCGTTGCGTCCTCGCTGGTGGAAAGGTTTTTGCTGAGCCGGGCTGGCGATGAGATGGATGTGCGTTTGAACCGAGGAGCAGCGCTGTTGCTATCTGTCGGTAGTTTCGTGGCAAGGTGACCAGGATGTTGCAACGGAGGTCGAGCGCTTGTGTTTCATATCGAGGGTTAGAGGAATGTGTAAACCAGCCTGCCCTTTTTGTGGTGAAAGTATAACAAATCGAGCGTCTGGACACGTCGCAGCCATTTAAAATCAGTTTTTGCTGCTTCACCTAAAAACAGTTTTAAATGGCTTGGAGATTGAGCCTGTGTTGCTTATTAAGATTTTGTTCAAATACATATGATGCAAGTGTTAACCAGAGAGGTATTTCCCACCCCGGGATATGGCAAGAGGCAAAGTCAGTCACAGACAGTTGTTCCCAGAGTGATGCTTTTGCAGGTTTCAGCACAGCCACCCTCCTTGCAGTTTGTTTTCTCTGCCCTTGCTTAGGGTTCTGGGTGCTGTTATCTTACAGAGATAAGACAAGAGGCAAATAGCGCTTCCTTCTTGGTCCTTGTGACTCATTCACCCTTTATACCAGTTACTGCAGTAAGTCTCAGAATTGTACTGAAAGTTTTCGTTAGGGTAGTGTATAAATTTTAGTATGATTCCTTCTTCTGTAAACATCTTTCCTGAGTGTCAAGGTGTCCTTTTGGATCTGTCATTTTAGCAGTGTTAAGACTACCCCTTCTCTTTCAAAAACATCTAAATGTATTTGCTTCTGCACTCAGGAAAATTGGAGTTTATTGTGTCTTTGTGTCAGATGTCCCGCAGTCTGACAGGGACATCACTCTAGCGGTCGTGGTGAGGGAGATTGCAGGCAGAGGGTAGACTCACAGGTGCTTCTTGGCATTCCTGTTGGTTTACATACTTACAGCTTGAGGCAGCGGCTCTGGGCAGAGAGGAGTGTGCGTCAAGCATCTCAGTTTAATAGCCAGGAATTTATATTGAAAATAAGTTGTGCATAAGTATTTCATATAGATACAAGGCCGTTTAATTGAAGAGCTAGGTTTATGAATAATGCATGTTTAAGAAGATCGGCTGGTCTCTTTGAAACAGTCTGCCTTTTTTAAAAAGTTAGATGACTTGAGGCTGCAGAATGAGTTAGTGGACGGAATAAAATTCCCTATAGTCGTGAAATAAATGATATGTGGTTGCATTGTTTTTCTACTGGTGAATAGAGAAAAAAGATCAAAAGAATAACATTCATGTCGCAAGATTGTTCCAAGTGAAATTGGTATATTGCTGAAAAGCTCTCAATTGTGAGGGGTGGGGGAGTAGAGGATGCTACTTTGTAGGGGAGTGATAGTGTTTGCTTATAAAACAGTCCTTACTTAGTCCAGGAGTTGAGAAAGGGATTTTAAGAAAGCTTCTTCAGGGAAAACATTTAAGTATAAACATGAAATTTAGATTTTGATAAGATTTCCTTATTAAACAATGGCAGGGATTAGGGCATCCCTTAATCCACTGTGAGTAGAATTTCATAAGATTAAACCCAGAAGGGACCTTAGAAATCATCATATTGATTCTCTCATTTTATAGATGAAGAAACTGGGTCACAGAAAGAGAAGTGGTGTGCCTGAGCCACTCAGCTGGAATCCCAGTCTTGCTCTCACAGTGACACCTGATGAAGTGATCCTCTAGGCCTGTGCTCAGTAGTGTTTGTTTTTTTTTTTAAGCTGCTTAGAATGCTTGAGGGTCTTCTGCTTAAGCCTTACAAGGAGGAAGTCATGTCTTGGAAGATGTCTGTTTCACAAAGGGGAAGGCTCTACTTGTTCTTACCCTCAGTCCGTATAAAGCTGAACTGTAACGTTCTTTGTTTTAAAACGATAGCTTAGAACCAAATGAAGCCTCTAATGCTGTTCCTAATATAGTCCATTAAATTTGAGTGAGTTTCAAGCGCTTGTCCGTCAGAGAGTGTTCCCTCTTGGCCTAGGACAGAGTGTGTGTGGGCAGGAATGTAACAGATTAATAGGTTCATAGGACTAGTTTTCAGGTAGGGATAGGAACTTGCATTGGAAAATAGCTTTACTTAAAATAACGTTCATAAGTATTTTATCTGAATATCAGAAAGATTTCCAAGGACAGAAACATTGTACAACTGCAGAAATGTGGGGAGTGAGCTCCAGAGTCCTTCCAGCACTTCTCCCTTTGCTGTTTACCCTTCTCTGGGATTGGTCAACTTCACCTGTTTGTTTGTGAGGGTGGTGCTGGGAAGAAGGACTGCTACATAGAAAGGACTTTGGAAAGAGATAGTACTTGGATTTTTGTCTTAAAAGTACAGGGGCAGCCTGGTAGCACAAGCGGTTAAGTGCGCGCGCTCCGCTGCGGCAACCCGGGGTTCGCCAGTTCGGATCCCAGGCACGCACCGACGCACCACTTGGCAAGCCATGCTGTGGTGGCATCCCATACAAAGTGGAGAAAGATGGGCATGGATGTTAGCCCAGGGCCAGTCTTTCTCAGCAAAAAGAGGAGGATTGGCAGATGTTAGCTCAGGGCCGATCCTCCTCACAAAAAAAAAAAAAAGTATAGATTAACTGTTCAAGATTATACTTAATGTATTTTACTAAAAAACAAACATCAACAAAAACGCTATAAAGAAGATTTTTGCCCCTTTGTTTTTTATAAAAGATCTGTTGGCACTCTGCCTATTATTGAAAATTTTTGAATCAAGTCAGTTGGTCAATTTTAAAGCTGCTTTGGGGTTTCCTTGGGATTTTCATTCCCGGCATAGTTGTTAGAACTCCACCAGTCGGAGGCAACTTGTTTTGCTAGTGGTATTCAACCAATCACAGTGCAAAAACTGAGACATTTTAGATAAATATATTTCTCATATTGAGTTTGCAGCTTCTGTTACTCTGTCCTTTATAATGCTGTTTCATTACAGAAAGTATAAGAGCAGATTTTATTTTTTTATTATTTTTTTTTTTAAAGATTTTATTTATTTTATTTTTCCCCCCAAAGCCCCAGTGGATAGTTGTGTGTCGTAGCTGCACATCCTTCTAGTTGCTGTATGTGGGACTCGGCCTCAGGATGAACGGAGAAGTGGTGCCTCGATGCGCACCCGGGATCCGAACCCGGGCCACCAGCATCGCAGTGCGTGCACTTAACCACCAAGCCACAGGGCCGGCCCATAAGAGCAGATTTTAAACTCTTGTGTTCCTTTTGAGATTTAAAATTAGTCCGTATGAGAAGTATGATATGCAGTCTTAATAGAGGAGTTGGCTCTTTCTGGATCAGGTGATAATTTACAGGAAAATGTCAGGGAACCACGTACCTAGTAGTAAATCAGACTGGCGGTTAGGTTCTGCTTCGTTCCTGCCAGCTTGGTGAGGGCATCCTGGAGGCAGCGGGCATTCCAGGTGGGTCCTTCGCTGGGTCACATAACTGAATCCCAGAGAAGGGCAGTGACTTGTCTGAAGTCACTCAGCCACCTCAGGGCACAGCCAGCTTCTCCGCTCCTGTCCCGTGTTCTCACTCTGTGCACTCCTGCCCAGAGCATCCTGGAACAGGAGCTCCTCAAGGACGCGGTTCCCTGGGGGTAGGGATGTATCATCCCTCAGGGCTTAACTGACGTGGAATTGTTTTCAGTCTTTTTCTTTTTTCTTAGTTTTCCTCATTGTAGCCAGGACTTTGAATATATGGATTTTGTGCTAATTTTTTCTTTTTCTTTTTCAGTTCAAATTAAGGAAAACCTATATCCTGCTTCTTCCTGTAAGCATCATCTAATTGTGCAAGAGCTCAGACATGCAGCCGCCGCCCCAGGCAGTCCCGGCAGGCATGGTCGGGCCACCTCCAGCCGGGAATCCTCAGAGCATGTTCTGGCCTAACAGCCCATATAGGAGACAAGCGAATAATAATGCACCAGTGGCTCCCATAACTTGCCCGTTGCAGCCGGTAACGGATCCATTTGCTTTTAGTAGACAGGGGCTCCAAAATACGTCTTTGGGCGGTTCGTCCAAAAGCAGCCTGCCCGTTTTGCAAGGCCCGACCCCACCAGCATTTCTTCAGCGCCCTGGTTTGCCTGTGCCTCACACAAATGCCAGGGATAGCTCCCAAGGACCTTGCGAGCCTCTGCCGCGACCTCTATCACAGCCCATGGCAGATGCCAGTCCATTTCCCAGTGTGTTGACCCCTTCAGCACCACCTGGGCCCGAGATGAACAGGAGTGCTGAGGTCGCTCCCAGCTCAGACCCTGAAGTTCAGACTCTACCGTGTCCTCCTCAGTACATTCCAGGAGTGAGTCCTGACAGTTCTCATGGGGGCCATCTGCAAGGGAATATGCCTGGGCCTGACAGACCTCTGAGTAGGCAGAACCCACACGACAGTGCTGCAGCACCAGTAGCGTCCCCTTTCTTCCCTCAGCCTCGTCAGCAAATGCCAGGGCAGTGCGGGCCAGTGCAGGGAGGCCCACAACCCTCAGGTCAACATTATTGGCCCTGCCCAGAAGGACCTGTTCGGAACACAGTGCCCCATGCCTCCAGTGTATCTCACTTCCCTGCTCCATCCAGCACGCATCAGGGTCCTAGCCACGAGCAACACAACCCACCAGTGTCTTTCCCAGGACCCTTGGCCAGTGACAGAAGAAATGAGATGGCCCACCTGCAAAGTGGAAACCACTCAGCCAATAACTTTGATCCTGAAAATGGGTTCAGGCAAAATTCCAGAATTGGGAATACTCGGGCAAGCCAAGAGTTCAAGCCGAATCCAGGAGTGAGTAAAGAGCAATTGCCAGATCCTGCTCTTGTTAATCCTCTCACTCAGGAAAGTAACCCAGAAAGCCATTTACACTATCTGCCAGGGGGCGGGACCAGCTGGGCCCTGCGTGAGGCAGACTCGGGAGCTCTCTCCGTGTTTTTCCAAGGGGGAGAGGCAGAAAATGAGGAGAACCTCTCATCTGAGGAAGCAGGCACTGCCGATCAGTCTAACTTGGCTGGTTTCTTCCCCAGCCCTGGACTTGGCCGTCCTGCACACGTGGGAGCAGGTGGCATTGATCAGGCCTTTCTCAAAGCTTCCAGCAGTGAGACCGTGCAGCAGGGAGACGTGCAACCTTATTTTTCTCAGTCTGCAAGCATCCAGCAGGATAAACAAACCACTAAAAACGCGGCCCTTGACATGTGGGGTGACATAGCAAGTACAGGGGCTCACAACACCAGCAGCTCACAGTGTGAGAATGTCGAGAACTTAGAGGTCGTTCAGAATCAAGAAGTTCTGCCAAGTGAGCCCCTAAGTTTGGACCCTTCCTGCCCAAGTGATCAGCTCAGATATGGGCCTCTTCCTGGGCCAGCTGTCCCCAGGCTCAGTGCTGTGGGCCACGTTGGAGGTGGGGGCCCAAATTTTGAGGCCCTGGACGCAACACCGCACCCTGTGCGATCCGATAGTGTGTCATCCAGTTACAGCGGCAAGAGCCACAGGAGCCTTTCAAGCGCAGCCAGGCCCCAAGACTTGGTGGCCACCTTCATTCAGCAGGAAGTTGGAAAACCTGAAGATGAGGCTTCAGGGAGTTTTTTTAAGCAAATTGATTCTTCTCCCGTAGGAGGTGAGACAGATGAGACCACCATGAGCCACAGCAGCCTGTCCCAGCCCTTGACCCCAAGCCCCCCAAAACCTACAGGAATATTTCAGACAAGTGCAAATAGTTCTTTTGAACCAGTGAAATCCCACTTAGTTGGAGTAAAACCAGTTGAGGCAGATCGTGCCAATGTGGTGGGTGAAGTGAGGGGGACCCATGCCCACCAGAAGAAGCGCAGACCGGCCACTGCACCACCCGATGCCTCCCCTGGCAACCTAGAGCAGCCACCAGACAACATGGAGACCCTCTTCACACCCCAGGTCTGCCCTCTGCCTTTCACCACACCTATGGAAGCCTCTTCTGGGCTTTCACACGCTGGGGGGCTGCTACTGGAAACTGTGCTGCCAACACCTGAAAAAAGGCCCCCGACCAGGGCTCAGGGAGCCGTCAAGTGTGAGAGCCCAGCAACGACTTTGTGGGCACAGAACGAGCTGCCAGATTTTGGAGGCAACGTCCTTCTAGCTCCAGCTGCTCCTGTACTTCACGTACCTGGGAAACCTCAGACATCGGAAGTGATCCAGCCTCCAGACGAGGGGGTGTCCAGTCAGCAGTCTCTTCAGAGCGGAGACAGCATTGGTGCTTCTGAGAACCTCGAGAATCCTCCCAAGATGGGAGAAGAAGAGGCCCTTCCGCTGCAGGCAGGTTCTGGTTACGCCAGTCTGTTATCCTCACCGCCCACAGAATCGTTGCAGAATCAACCAGTCTTGATTGCCCAGCCTGATCAGAGCTATAATTTGGCTCAGCCCATTAATTTCTCTGTGTCCTTATCGAATCCTGATGAGAAGACTCTGTCCTGGAGAGAGGGTTTGGTGGGGGATAAATCCACGATAAGCAGCTGGGCTGTTGGGAGTGATTCTGGAGAAAATGCTCCTTTGTCTGGAATTCCAACTGGCTCTCTCATCTGCTCGCCTCTGCCTAACAATCTTGCCCAAAGTAATTTTCCACAAGTTTCTGGTACTTCTGAAATGGTTTCTAATCAACCTGGTAATTTGTTGGTTCAACCGCCATCTCATCCAGTTCCAAAGAATTCGATTCCAGAAAGTCCAAAGATTCATACTGCAGAGAAGGTCCTTCCTGAGTTGGTGAATAGCCCAGCTGGCAGCACAGGTATGATGTTAGTGCCACCCACAAACAGTACCTTGGTGCCTAATAGTAATAGGGCACATCACTCCAGTCATCGGGAAGAAACTTCGGGAGCCCTGGACTTTACATTAAATAGGACTTTGGAAAATCCTGCAAGAATGTACAGCCCGTCCCATTCTGACGGCCCAGCCTCTTGTCAGCAAACCGTCGCCAATCATCCTAGACACCCTGGGTCTGGGGTGCATAACCCAGACCATTTCTACCAACAGGTGACGAAAGATGCTCAGGACCAGCGTGGCCCAGACAGAGCCCAGCAGGAGCCAGTGCCTCCTCCCCTGCAAGGTCCCAAAGCAACATTTCCAGAACTGTCAAACCCAGTAAGTCCACTAGTGCAAAGACAGCCCCACAGTTCAGCCCAGCCACCTGCAAGTCCGGCTCCAGCTGACGCGGGTCAGCAGCCGCTGCCTCGGCCACCTCGGTCCTCCAGTGCATCAGTTGTGTCTACCAACTCAAGCCAGGCAGCCATACGCTCAGACCAGCAGTGGCTGCAGCCGCCGCCTCCAGACTTGGCGTCCTACTACTATTACAGATCCCTGTATGACGGCTACCAGTCCCAGTACCCCTCGCCGTACCCGCCGGATCCTGGCACAGCCTCCCTCTATTACCAGGTGGGCTTGAGCTCTCAGACTGTTGAGCCCTTTGACCAGGGTTTCTTTCTCTCGTGTTGTGCTCCTTGGCAGGGTTTTGGTGGTCAATTCAGAAGTAAGCTGTAGTCCTGCCGCCGTGCAGAACGTCAGTTCCGTGCACTGTGTCATGAGAATAGTGCTCCTGGTCACAGCTTGCTCTGCCAAGCACAGCCCATCTCACACTACGCGTTAGACCGTTGATACGCCTAGAATATCTGCTTAATTTTTGCTTAACACAGCATGCCCCAACTTATGTGACAGAAGGGCCCTTTGTTTCCTGTCCCACCTGTTGGCACTCTGCAGAACCAGAGTTCTGAGTTGCACACTTTGGGAAACTGGGATAGCCTCTTGAAGCTTCTGTGTGGTTTTGACATCAAAAACTTACCTAAGGGGGCCGGCCTCATGGCATAGCGGTTAAGTTTACGTGCTCTGCTTCGGTGGCCCGGGGTTCGCTGGTTCGGATCCTGGGTGTGGACTTACGCACTGCTCATCAAGCCATGCTAAGGTGGCGTCCTGCATAGAGCAACTAGAAGGATGTACAACTATGACGTATAACTATCTACTGGGGCTTTGGGGAGAAAAAAGGAGGAAGATTGGCAGCAGATGTTAGCTCAGGGCCAATCTTCCTCAAAAACAAAACAAAACCTAAGAAGCAACAGGAAAACTGTGGTCTTTTAAATCCATCCTTCAGAATAAAAATATTTAGGGGAAAAAGTTAGGTGTGGAGTGTAATCCAAGTGAAACAGCCAAGTGGGGTGAATTCCATAAACTTCTTTCAGATACATGATGATACAACAGCAGCGTGAGGGACCCTGCTGTGCTGCACAGAAGATTCTTGCCTCTTTTCACAGTGATACAAGCTCATGAATGTGCTTTAAATTAGGTCTATTTAATCCTGCATTAGTTTGAAAAAGTGTGGTCCAAGTGGGCACGTTTGATTATTACCTGCTTTTCATTACCCCCGAGGCAGAAGGATTGTGGACTAGGGAAGTTGAACACCACTGTCTTACAGGAGGCGACTGCTGGCCCCTCCAGAGGCCTTGCAGTCGGAAGATGCTGGGGGAGCAGGGCTGTAAAGTGCTGGGCTGGGTGGGGCGGCTGCCCCTGGTGATAAGAGGCCTATGCCCCCGTTGTGGGCTCTGAGCATCTTTGTATGTGTGAACAGTTATACATCTAACCACTGGGACCTGTGAATTCTAGGTTCTAGAAGGAGCTCATGGGCTTTTCTTTCCACAGAAGAAAATTAAGCTCTGCTGAGATCCCGGGGGGTGCAGGCAGAGCATGTGGGGAGCCATGTACTGCTTGGGGTACTTTGTGCAGCGGCTGCTTCTGCATCCTGGGAGTTCCATCTGGGAGCCTGGCATCACTTCTCTGGGTGCCCACATCCTTACCCCTTGTCTCTGTGTCACCACAGTCTCCAGTAGCAGTCAAGAATAAGTCCATTTTACATAATTTCTTGTCCTCTGCCAGGTGATGGCAGAGAGTCAGGCTCTTAGACACGAAGGACTGATTCTGGCTTGTGCCTGAATCACCTCATCTCTGCTTCAGGTCTTCACGTGGCCACTCCTTAGAGACCGTGTGGCCACTCCTGAGAGACAGGGCTGTGGCGATTCCTTGCTTTGTAACGGGGCTAAAAGCCTTGTGAGAGTAAAGTATGATCCTCTTTTGGAGGCTGCCCGGAGTTTCAGGACCCATTCGAGTGGAGCCGGATTCTTTTGCTTACCTGAGATGGGTCTGAGATAGGACACAAGCCTGGTGAGTCATGGCATTCAAGACCTCGGGAAGCAGAAGCCTAACGGAGCCCTCGAGAGTCACTGTGGCCCTTTGGGGGTGCCTTCTGACATGCTGGCTGTCTTGTGGGCAGGGCCAGGGCAGTCCGCTTTAGGAAGCTCCTACGGCCTGCCTGTGGCTGTGAATGTCGTCTTATAGGTTTTCTGTTGTTTTGCGTGGAGGAGGCCCCCAGTCCAGTGCTTTGTGGAGACCTGTTGTCTGTCCTGTTTTGAGCTGTGCTAGTTGCTTGATGACTTGGCTCTTTATTGGTTTCTAATGTTGCACAAACCCTTCCTCCAACAGGATGTCTACGGCCTCTATGAGCCCAGATACAGGCCCTACGACAGTGCAGCGTCTGCCTACACCGAGAACTACCGCTACCCTGAGCTTGAGCGGCCCAGCTCCCGGGCAAGTCACTGCTCGGACCGGCCATCTGCCAGGTGAGTCATGTTCGTGTTGCTGGCTGTGGCAGTAACTTAGTGATTTGAAAAAGGCTGTGTTTGTAAAGAATTGTACAAACCTATTTATATGGGGTTACGTTTGGTCAGTGTAGACAGATTGCAGGAGCTTTTTTAAATGGATAAGCACGAACTAATAAGCAGGATGCTTTTTTAAACTAATAAGTGTGTTGGGCCGGCCCCGTGGCCTAGCAGTTAAGTGCGCACGCTCCGCTACTGGCGGCCCAGGTTCAGATCCCGGGCGCGCACCGATGCACCGCTTCTCCGGCCATGCTGAGGCCGTGTCCCACATACACCAACTGGAAGAATGTGCAGGGCCGGCCTAGTGGCTTAGCGGTTAAGTGCGCGCGCTCCGCTGCTGGCAGCCCGGGTTCGGATCCCGGGCATGCACCGACGCACCGCTTCTCCCGCCTTGCTGAGGCCGCGTCCCACGTACAGCGGCTAGAAGGATGTGCAGCTATGACATACAACTATCTACTGGGGCTTTGGGGGAAAATAAATAAATAAATAAAATTATAAAAAAAAATAAAAAAATAAACTAATAAGTGTGAACTAATAAGCATGCAGTCATCATCACACTGTCAGCTAGCATTTGGTCAGGCCAGACCCTGTGCAGCACCACCGGGAAGCCGCCACTGCTCTTGTGCAGGTTCCTCCCCAGAGCGGGCGATTGTCCCATCACCGAGGCACGCCTGTGGCTCTGGTGGTTTGCTGACGGAATGTTCAGGGTCCTTTGACTGCGGCAGCTTTTAACCCATGCAGACTGTTCCCCACTACTGGTCACAGAGATCCCATGACTCTTAGGCCACAATGCAGAGCTGGCCCATTGGCCTGAAACCCCTGTTCTTTCCTCAACACTGTCTCCTGTGCTGGAAGGCCCCTAGACGTCTCTGTCCTGCTTCTCTCTTACACTGACCAAGCATATCTCGGTTTTGTGATTACAGACGAGGGATTTTAAAAGAGCCCTGGCGTCGTGCCCTCAGCCGAGTAAGAATTTAAGCAGGTCAGAGTCCTCCCACTCAGAGATGTTGGTAGAGTTGCAACGAAGTGGCGGGGCATGGAGCTTAGTAGCTTGTTCTGCTTTGCCTCCTTCCAAAGCCTTTCCTGCAGCTGCTTGTGTCAGATTGGAGGAATAGCTTATCTCACGGTATGGGTTTTGCTACAAGGATATATAGTTTCTTAAACTCATAATAGTCCGATCGCTGATGAAGACTTGCACACGCACTGCCTTTCAGTATCGTGGGCTCCTTATGCTCGTTCTCAGAGTCTTTGATAGCTTGTCTGGAGACAGGCTCTGTTGCTGTGAGCCTTTGCTCGTTCAGCCGCCCTCTCTATACGTTGCTCCAGGGACGCACTGACCTGCCGGTGGCCCAACATTCTAGATGCTGTGTGAGCAAGTTCCCACAGTTTTAGCTCCTCTGTATCATCGTATCACCTGGGAAGCGAGGTTTACAGTTAAAATAAGCATTCTGATTCAGTGAAAGCAATGGGCAGGCATTTTCTAGAACCTCTGAGAGGCCAGGGAGCGCAGAGGAGGGTGGATCCAGGGCACGTTTGCCGTTCAGCTTTCCCTCTGCTTGCCCGCCTGCCGATTTGAGTGGCAAGAGGCCACAGGGCGCTCCGTGTTGTTCAGAAGGCACCCAGCCAGAGGCTAGGGCAGCTTATGTAGGAGAGGTTGTGTCACCTGTCTGCAGGGTCTCCATCCTCGCAGTGTCTCATCACTTACTTCTGACAGCTCTGGAGCATAACTTCTCCTTTTTCGTGCCTCGCTTTGGCTGGGGGTTGTACGTGCATGTGTCCGTGGGTGTGTGTGCATGTGCGTGCGTGTGTTGCACACAGATGTTTAGCATTAGCTTGTCTTTTGTGCATGGTGTGATCACATCCCTGTGGGAACTGCGTGAGGTGAGAACATACCTTTCCTCTTTGTGATTATCTTTCCCAGTGGGTGAGTGGGGTTGGTGAGGGCAGCGAGGAGGTGGCCTGTTCTGGGCTTTGCACTATGTCAGATCGTTCTTCCCAGTCCACCAATGGTGTGTGCAGGTGCTCTCACTCTGTGCAGAGGGGTGCGGTCCAGATTGCTCCTGTCCAGGGCCCTCGGGCCCGACAGGTGTTGTTCCTGTACCTGAGCAGTGGCAGGGATTCTGGGCCGGAGGGCCAGGCGCTCCTCACAGGCAGCAGCCCCACCACATTCTCGGGAGCTGCGCCAGCCAAGCCCCCAGGCTCAGCTGAGTGAGACATTCCTGAAGGGGCATGAGAAAAGTCACGTTTTAAAAATCAAGTATTGTCTGAAACTTGCTATTAGAACAAAAACGCCGTTAAGCCCTTCCAGGAGTCTTACTGCCCCCAAAGTTCTGATACCTGATCTTGCGAAGTTCCACTTTTCTGTGGTGAGGGTCAGAGTGTGGCTTGCCCTGTGAAGCCGGCCTTGATCAGGCACATGTTTCGAGTCCCACATCAGTAAGCGCTAAGGGACACAAGGGGCTGAGCCAGCCCAGGTGAGCACCTTAACCCACTCAGAGGACACATGGGGCATCTGTGTAGAGGGTATTGGAGTCGGCCTTAGGTTGGTTTTGATAGCTCTGTGCTTTTGCTTCTACTAAGTATGACATCAAACACTTGGGAACCTACCTTAGCATTGGGTTTTATAGGATATAGCACTAACACGAGAAAGGGTCAGTTCTTTTATGCTGAACAGCACTTAAATACTTGTTTTGGGCCGGCCCCGTGGCTTAGCGGTTAAGTGCGTGTGCTCCGATGCAGGCGGCCCAGGTTCGGATCCCGGGTGCGCACAGACGCACCGCTTCTCCGGCCATGCTGAGGCCGCGTCCCACATACAGCAACTAGGAGAATGTGCAACTATGACATACAACTATCTACTGGAGCTTTGGGGGAAAGATAAATAAATAAATAAAATTATAAAAAAAAAAAATACTTGTTTTAAGAGATACATTTTAATTAGCTATATGGTAGGGCATCCCATAATCTCATCATTACTGTTTCGGATCTTCTGATTAGAATTTTTTCACAACCAAAGTATGCTAACAAATGCCTGTTGCTCTGGGTATAATTTGTATTGACCGATATCTTGTCATACTTAAAGAAATAGGTAATTTTTTTTTTAACAGCGTTGTGTGTTTTTTCAGGCAGATGTATCCTGAAGGTTACTATAATTCCAGAAGTGGATGGAGCAGTCAGAGTGATTGCTATGCAAACTATTACTCCAGCCAGTACGATTACGGAGGTACGGTCGGGAGTGTGTGTCCTCTGCACCGCCAATGTAGCCGGGTGCAGTGGGCACCCTGTGGGGCTTCCTCAGGAGACTTGCTCTGTTGTTAGTCTCTTTATGCTTTTGTCCAAGAGCCAAAGTAGTTTAAAATAATTTGCATCTGGAAATAGTTATATTGCTATTTTTATTAAGAAATCATATCTTAGTTATAGGATTAATGTGTCTTTATCATATTAGCAGTTTTCTTTGATTTTCTAGAAAAGCATAATTATCAGTAGTTCTAGAGCAGCCTTATCCATACGTGACTCTTTAAATTGATTCAGAAAAATATGATGAAAAACTGGCTCCTCAGTTGCACTGGCCACATGTGGCTGGCAGCTCACACGTCGGACAGTGCAGACATAGGACAGTTCTCATCACTTCTGCAGGCGCTGCCCTGTCCGTTTGGATGCTTTCCTGTCAGGCAGTGTGTGCATTTCGGTGGCATGTCCCCTGAGCTGCCCTGCTGGTCACTTCTGCCGGGCTGTGTCCTGTGCTCTCAGTGCAGTGAGGCTCCCAGGCCTGCAGCCCCTTGGTTATCCGACACGGTTGCCCCGCCTTCTGCTTCCCACAGGCATCTTTTTCCTCTTTTGTATTTGCATCGCTTTAAACATAAAGTCTGCACACAGTTGCCCAAACCGGTACATCCAGTTTATGTATAATGTTATTGTGCTTTTTTAAAGTAGTCTTTTAGTTTTGAGAGTATTTCTTAAAACTTTCACATTAGAGAAGAGAGATATAAGTAAAATTTATAGTCATGGGATTAACTATTAAAAAGTAGTAACTATGAACAAGAATTTAATGAAGATGTCTTCTGGCAGTTTTTTTTTCTTTTCAATCGTGTGTATTGAGAGAAAAACAGCCATTGGCCAGTAGGTATTATATGTATAGGCAAGACACAGCTGGGGGTCCCCGTTATCGCCCAACACTCCCCAGGCTCCTGCTAATATTTGGGAGGACAGTTTGGTTCCTCCAGAAGCTGTGAGGCATTCTTCGGTGCTGGGGTGGCATGGCTTCTCCAGTAAAGGCCAAAGGAATGCCTTCTTTTGCATGTCATAGTAACCCATTCATCCCTTGCTTACAGATCCAGGTCGATGGGATCGGTACCATGGGTCTAGATTCAGGGATCCCCGCACCTATGACCGGAGGTATTGGTATGATGCTGAATACGATCCATATAGGAAAGAAAGCTATGCTTACGGTGACAGGTTGGTACCGTACACTTTGATGAGAAGGGTTGGTTGTAAATCAGAGCCACGTTATTGCGTTTCTGCCCTCGTGTCTTTGTCATTTACCTAAGAGCTACGGCTGTGTTTGGGTTCCTGGTGAGCAGTGATGTTGTGGTCTCTGTCTGAAAGAGGACGATGAACCAGGCCCTCCGGTATTGCTCACTTTGGGCTGTTGGAGGAGGACCAGCCTTAGAATGAGCGTCTGGGAGTCAGTTCATTCTCCTCTTGGCCATGTCCGTGAGAGGCGTGGCCATGCTTGGGATGAACTTGCAGCATGTTTCTCTCAGTCTTCAGGCAGGGTCTGAAGTGGGGCTTGGAATACGGCAACTCCACTCAAGGGTGGGCTTTGACCAGTGTTTTTCAGATCACGGCTCAGGAGGCACGATGGGAGGGTGAGGGGGCAGTGGTGACTTGGTAGGGGCTCTATTGTTGTGGAGTAAGTGAATGTCTGCCCTCCCAGATGCCCCTTTCCTTGCCTCTGCCCTGTTGCTTCCTCTAGGCCCGAGAAATACGATGACCACTGGAGGTACGACCCTCGCTTCACTGGGAGTTTTGACGATGACGCGGAGCCCCACAGGGACCTTTACGGGGAAGAAGTAGACAGGCGCAGCATCCACAGCGAGCACTCGGCGCAGAGCCTGCACAGTGCGCCCAGTGTGCAGAGCCGCCGCAGCAGCTTCAGCTCCCACTCGCATCAGGTGGGCTGGCAGGGCGAGACTCTCCCGTCAGCACGGTTCTGTTTGGAACCCAGTTATCCTCCCCCTGGAGCTCTGGCAGTGTGCCTGAAGTCTTCCCTGTCTGCTTTGTGTTTTCTAAGAGTCAGATTTACAGAAGTCACAATGTGACGGCCGGTTCCTATGAGGCCCCGCCTCCACCAGGCTCCTTCCATGGCGATTATGCCTATGGCACCTATGGCAGCAATTTCAACGGTGCCCAGGGCTTCCCAGAGTACGGCTACCCCGCTGACGCTGGCTGGCCCACCGTGGAGCAAGGTGTGTGTGGTCAAGGCCCTGTGCGCTCACAGGTGCAGAGGGATGCCAAGTTACACCGAGGGGGTGGCTTCACACCAAGGGGGTGATGAGAAAGAGGGAGTGAGTTATAACTGTGATAAGAAGCTGTGATGGCCTGGCTTGGTCTTCCCTGCAGAGTAAGGACTGCTGTGTCACAGCATGTCTGTCCTTTGAATGACAGAGCTTGTCACAATGGGCTGATGGCGTCCCTCAGGCTGCAGTTCGGCTCACAGGCCTGAGAGCTGCGCTGCCTGTCCATTATGTCCATTTCCGTGCAACTCTGAGTACAGGCTCACTGCCACGGGCTGGAGTGGGGCCTCATTGTGTCCGGAGTGCCGACCACACGGGTAAGCAGTTTTTGGAAGAAACTTCTAATTCCCTTTGCAAAACTGTCCATAGATGTGTCACATGTGCCACATTCTCAATTCCCTTCTAAAATGTTTGATCAAATACTGTTTCTTGGAAAACATACATCAAGTTCTTATAACTGGACTTTCTTTCTTAAAGTATTATTTCAATTAAAAATCTTACTTTATTTTTGACTTGAGGTGTTTTGCTTCTGATTTTCATTAGTGCTCTGTGGTACTCACAATCTGAAGCTGGGTTTGTAAAGGAAAGTGAAGGAGCACCCAGGAGGCGTGCACGCTGCTTGCATGTAAAGAGTGCTTTGTGGTGGTTTTTTAAAGTGGGTTTTCATTTTAGAAGAGTTCTCATTTTTAATGACTTAAAATTTTTTCTGACATACTTAAGCTCTACTTTTGTGCGTGTGTGTGAAGAAGATCAGCCCTGAGCTAACATTCAATGCTAATCCTCTTTTTTTTGCTGAGAAAGATTGGCCCTGGGCTAACATACGTGCCCATCTTCCTCTGCTTTATGTGGGATGCCGCCACAGCATGGCTTGACAAGCGGTGCATCGGTGTGCACCTGGGATCCGAACCTGCAAACCTTGGGCCGCTGAAGCGGAGCGCGCGCACTTAACCTCTGCGCCACCGGGCTGGGCCCTGAAGCTCTACTGCTTCTTTTTTTTTGTTTTTTGTGAGGAACATCAGCCCTGAGCCAACATCTGATACCAAGCTGCCTCTTTTTTCTGAGGAAGACTGGCCCCGAGCCGACATCCGTGCCCATCCTCCTCCACACTATATGCGACGCCGCCACAGCGTGGCTCGACAAGCGGTGTGTCGGTGCGCGCCCGGGATCCGAACCGGCGAACCCTGGGGCGCCACAGCGGAGTGCGCACTCAACCGCTGGCGCCCCCAGGCCGGTCCCAAGCTCTGCTCCTTAATAGGATATTTATCAATTATTAACTTCCAGCTGAAAGGCAGTTTATTGTGATTCATCTACGATTCCAGCCATATGGGCACCTTGGAAGTTGAAGCTGTAGAGCTAGTTCAGAAGCATTAAGAAGTGACGCTGATTGCTTCTTTTCACTTTATTTACATGCAGCTCCATCAAGACCGACTTCTCCTGAGAAATTCTCGGTGCCTCATGTCTGTGCCAGGTTTGGTCCTGGGGGTCAGCTCCTTAAAGTGATTCCAAATCTCCCTTCGGAGGGACAGCCTGCGTTGGTTGAAGTTCACAGCATGGAGGTAATTCCATGGGTGGAAATGCCACATCACAGTTCAGGCCGCACCCATACACTCTGTGCTTCACAGTTTGTGGTCTTCAGATTGTGCATTGTTGTCTCTGAAAACAAATGACCTTGGAAAAGGTTTGTTCCCATGAATTTTATAGGGGTTTTTGTTTTATTTGATTATATGTCTTTCAGAAGTCAGCATTTAAGCATCTGCTTTGGGTATTTTGTTAGACTTGGGTTTATTGTATATTCATTTTCTATCTTATTTGCATTTCTGATTTTGGGGGAGGACCCTGTTCATGTTCATTTTACTGGTGATTTTGGATAATGAGTAGGGGGTGCGTCATGATCTTGTGGCAGGTGCTGCTAGAGGCTGATGAGGGCGCCCTGTTCTGCAGCCGCGGCAAGCTCTTCTGTCACACAAGTTAGGGCCCTGCTTCAGCGTTTGGGGGGAACAATGGCTCTCGTTGCTTACAATGAAGTTTGACAATCACTGTTGTGGACCAAACGTGCCCACGCCTGGTGATGGAGCCTTGGCCGCCCTGCATGGAGGGCAGGCATCCTCGGGGACAGCGTCTGTAACTCAGTCTGCCACTGTGGCCAGAGACGTGGGTCAGGCATTGACGTGAGCTGCTCTCTCTCTGCCCCCTTTCTTGCGCAGACCCTGCTGCAGCACACGCCGGAGCAGGAGGAGCTGCGGTCCTTCCCCGGGCCTCTCGGCAAGTACGTGCCCATGCGTGTCCGCAGCGTCCGTCTGCTGGCAGTCGCTGAGCTTGGCCTGGTAGCTGCGGTTGTGCTGTCCGCTGAGTGTGTGTTCTTTTTGCAGAGATGACACCCATAAGGTGGATGTGATTAATTTTGCACAGAACAAAGCTACGAAATGTTTGCAGAACGAAAATTTAATTGACAAAGAGTCTGCCAGTCTTCTTTGGAATTTTATTGTTCTATTATGCCGACAGAATGGGGTACGTTTCTTTACTTTGAGAATGGCTTTTCTGGTTGGTCTTTAGTCTTGGGAATCCTCGGTTCTCCCGAAGGAGCTGGGCGGGATTTCTGTCCCAGGCTGTGCACAGGGAGTGGTGCTACTGTCCAGGGCTCACTCAGGAAGAGCATCTTAGCAGTGATTTGGGGAAGTGGGAGACGGAAAGGGTGTGTGGTCAGGGCTGAGGAACGCCGTTGTCAGCCTGTCCGGTCATATGTGGTCTGTCCATCTTGCTCCTGGCCGTGTTGGGAGTGGTGGTTTGTGCCCATGGTTTCATGTGCTCATCTGGGGAGACCTGTTCGGGGTCCTCACCTGAGCAGGACCGGGACCATCTTGTCACCCCGTGGGAAATTCTCTTCGTGGTGAAGTCTCTCATTCTCTTTCCTGTCCTTGCTGACTCTCGCAGACCGTGGTGGGAACAGACATTGCAGAACTTTTGTTACAAGACCACAGAACAGCATGGCTTCCTGGGAAGTCACCCAATGAGGCCAACCTGATCGACTTTACCAACGAAGCCCTGGAGCAGGAAGAAGAGTCTGGGGAGGCTCAGCTCTCGTTTCTCTCTGACAGTCAGGCAGCCACCACCAGCACTCTTGAAAAGGAAACCGAGAGGTTCAGAGAGCTGCTGCTGTATGGCCGTAAGAAGGTAAGCAGGCCTGGGAGCTGTGGACTCCACAGGCGTGTCCTCTCGTCCACCACCAGTGGCATAGGTGCCAGGACACGGCGTCGGCATCCTTACTGGAATGCAACGTTGTGGGTCTCGTTCCATGAAGAACGTCTGCCACCTTGTACGGCATCTCTCTGAAGGTGTTAATAGAGGTTTTCTTCTAAATATTGCCAGTGTCAAAGACTTGCAAGTTCAGTTTTCATTTATTCAACCAATAAACACATTTATTGAGCTCAGGCTATGCCCCTGCTGTGTATAATAAGTCTCAGGGATAAACATTTGCTGAGACAGAACTTAAACCTGTCCTCACAGTTAGGCATAAGCTTACAGTCTGTTAAGTGAAGTGGGTGCTGGGTGGGAGCATGTGCCGAGCCCGAGCTGGTCAGAGAGACACTGCAGGCGAGAGGGGGGCCGGGTGTTGACAGGATGGGTGGAGAGAGTGCCTCAGAAGCCACGCACAGGCATCTGCAGCATGGAAGCTCACTCTAGTGCAGATGGAGGAAGAGGTCAGACCGCCTGGGTTGGGACGGTGCATGCACAGGAGGGTGCGCCACGTGCTGTGGGCACGTTCCATGCATGCGTGGCTCTGGCGGCAGAGCTCTGGGAGGCCCAGAGTGTCTGGTGCTTCTCTGTCATGAACTCAGAAAGCTCACGTTTGATAAATAAATTAATGTGGATGATTTATAAGTGATTGAAATCATATAATCTGTTAGATTTGATGCACATTTACCCCGGCTGTGGCATTTTTGCCTTCCAGTCAGAAGTTTTCTAAATTATACCCCAGCTCATTTTGGATAAAGGGGAGGCTGCATTAGTAAAGGCTCTCTCCATGTTGAGAAGATGCTCATGGAGGCCTCACGTATCGTCTGGAACTGGGGAGTTAACGTTCATGTGGCGTTTCTTCCAGTGGAAAGGACAGTTTGGGGATGGCAGTACTGCTCTGTTGTCCCTATTTCTGATTGGTGGGCTTATTCTTTATGCTGCAAATAGATAATAAAAGCAGTGTGTATACACACAGACTTACTACCATGGAGACTTTGCAACTATGGAAAATAAACGAAAAATGGACTTTTCTTTCATTTCTGAACTGTGAACAAGTGTGTTTGGAGGCCTTTGTTTCATTTGCTTTTTATCTGCAGTTGAGTCCTTTCTTCTTTCCTGACAGCATGTAATGACACACAGTCCATTCCTTTTGTTTGCTTACATCACGGAAGGTTCTCTGATAATTCAGATACCCACTCAAATGCTTTGCAGGATGCTTTAGAGTCTGCGATGAAAAATGGCTTATGGGGTCACGCTCTGTTACTTGCAAGTAAGATGGACGGCCGGACGCATGCCAGAGTCATGACCAGGTAAGGAATCTGGCTGTGTGGACTGTCTGCGGGCATGTCCTGCTGGTCCAGTTGCAGAGCCTCGTCAGCTCTTGGAAGCACACAGTCGTTTGTGGTTCTTGCCGGAGAGAGCTGGGGCATCTCTGCACTGTGCTGCTGTCACACAAGGACACGGGCTTACTCGGCCCTCTTCCTTGAGTCGTATTGCTAAGGGATTTAAAGAAACTTTTATTATCTGCATGGTTTTTAATTCTATAAAGTGTCAGTGAATTCCTTAGCCTTCAAATCTTTCCCAGCTTTTTTTTAATATTGAGATGGCGCACTTGGCCTAGGTTGATCATCAAGTCTGTCATTGAAGGGGCTGAGATGAAACCAGACTTGTTTTTGGATTTTCCTGTTTTGAAACCTGCCAAGTAAGCTCTGTCTGTCTTCCTGTCTGCCCAGGTTCGCCAATAGCCTCCCCATCAACGACCCTCTACAGACGGTCTACCAGCTGATGTCAGGCCGGATGCCTGCTGCGGCCACGGTCAGTGTGTGGGCCTCAGGCCGGTGCCCCCGCAGTGCAGCCTCCTGTTGGGTGCTAGCCCTTGGAAAGATTTCATCATGGGATAGAGGCCTGTGCTGCTTTCTCATGTTGCTCATTGAGCTCAACCATCACAAAATTAAGATGACACTCTTCCAAGGATAAGGGTTTATTTTGTTTTGCTTTTTTCTGATTGTAGTGTTGTGGAGATGAGAAGTGGGGAGACTGGAGGCCGCATCTTGCTATGGTTTTGTCCAACTTGAACAACAATGTGGATGTGGAATCCAGGACGATGGCCACGATGGGTGACACTCTAGGTGGGTCAGGTGCAGACATGGAGGTTGGGCCGTCGTGCAGTGGAGCATGGAGGACTTAATTGTGCCAGTGGTCGTCGGGGTGTTAAGGGCCACAAGACTTTTCCATTCATCGGCATATCTCTGGCGTCTCTGTTGGCATTTTTTGATCTCTGGGAGAACTCCCAGAGACTAAGACTTGCCCTGCTTTTTGTCTCTTCAGTTTCAAAAGGCCTCTTAGATGCTGCACACTTTTGCTACCTCATGGCCCAAGTTGGATTTGGGGTTTATACAAAGAAAACCACAAAACTTGTCTTAATTGGATCAAACCACAGGTGAGGAGTTGAGTAAACGTAGTGGTATCTGTTTTCCTTTAGAAAGGAAACGTCCCCTCTTTTAGCCAGCCCAGAAACGGCACACGCGGAGCTGGAAGCAGTGGCCTCGTGTCTTTATCACGTGGTCTGACACACTTCTGGGGCACTTGCACAGAGATTAAAATAGCTCATTTCCTCAACAGTTTGCCATTTTTAAAGTTTGCGACCAATGAAGCTATTCAGAGGACAGAAGCCTATGAGTATGCTCAGTCCCTTGGGGCACGGACCTGCTCCTTACCCAGTTTCCAGGTACGTAGGAGCCATGCCAGTCTTCAGCGTTAACCTGGGGCTTTTGAACTCTTACACAAAAAATGACTCAGTGTTTCTGGAAATCTTGGGGAGACCTTGGCTCTGTGAGGCTCAAGAGCTCAGCTTGCTGAATTGAGGACTTGGTGTTTGGGTCTTACTATTTTACAGACTAAAAACCTTGAGTGTTCAGTTTCGAGCACTTTTCTCTCAGCTGTTTTTAGTATTACGGGGAGAGTGTTGTCTGACCCAGGATGGTGTGTGTGTGTAAAGCATCTGTGTACTGAAGTGCTCCTGGAGAGTGGTTACGGCAGTTTGCAGCTCCGCGGGAGTGGTTGTCCCGAGTGCTTGCTGAGTCCTGGCACTCGAGTCATGAGCCTGGTGGCTCTGCTAAGGGTGTGAAGAGAAAAAGTGAGTTTCTTAGAAGCTTTGTTGTTTACTTTGATTTGAAATATCTCAGGGAATGAGGACTAGTACTGTTGTGGGCAGGCATGGGGGAGACACAAGGAGCTGCATGAAACATCCAGAATAATCCTCAGCCTGCAGGGTGACTGTAGAGTGATGTTAGGAAGTTGAGGAAGACCCACATGATGGCTAAGCTTTGTTTGTTTGTTTTAGGTGTTTAAGTTCATCTACTCTTGCCGCCTAGCTGAAATGGGGCTTGCCACCCAAGCCTTTCATTACTGTGAAGTAATTGCTAAGAGCATCCTGATAGAACCTCACAAATACTCGCCGGTGCTGATTAGCCAGCTGGTCCAGGTAATGTCTTCTCGCGTGTCTTTCTTGCGTGCTGGACTGTGGGGAAGGTGTGGCACATCAGGATTGCTGGACCTGGGGGTGAGCTGTGATCATTGGGTGCTCATGACTATAGCACTGACTTCCAGAGCGAATTAAGATACTTGAATGTTCTCAGGCAGGTATTTGGTGTTCCGCATCTTAGCATAGGAATTCTTCAGATACCTCATGCCAGTACAGAAACTTAGCAATAAGCCTCAAAGTAGGAAGGACCCCAACTCCAGGACATTCGTGTCTCGAAGCAGTGAGTCCAGCGGTTAACAGCGTAAGCTGTTCTCAAGTCCAGGCGCCTGGGCTTGGGTCCTGGCTGCACCACTGCCAGCCTCAGTTTCTTTTTTTGTGTGTGTGAGAGGAAGATCAGCCCTGAGCTAACATCTGCCAATCCTCCTCTTTTTGCTGAGGAAGACCGGCCCTGGGCTAATATTTGTGCCCATCTTTCTCCACTTTATATGGGATGCCACCACACCATGGCCTGACAAATGGTGCATCAGTGCACGCCCGGGATCTGAACCTGGGCCGCCAGCAGCAGAGTGCACACACTTAACCGCTACGCCATGGGGCCGGCCCCAACCAGCCTCAGTTTCTTTCTCTGTAAAATGGAGACGGTGTGACTGGCCTCCCAGAGCTTCGTGAGGTGTAAATAAGCCAGGAATGGACTGCGGCCAGCATGTTGTGACCCCTGGCACCAAAGGGCCGCATCAGTATGTCCCTCCCCCCAGGAGCTTCGTATTTGAAAATGTGCTCTTGTGATACCTAAAAAAGTTTTTTATTCTGGAAATTTTTAGACATCTACAAAAATAGAATAATGAATGAATTCTTGTCCTCGTTCCGCAGCTTCAGCAGAGGAAACAAGACCAAACTTGTTTCATCTGTCCCTGCCCACTGTCCCCTTCCATCCCCCCAGCTCACCCCCCACCGCCCGATCAGAGTGTATCCGTTTCTAGGTGAGTTCAGCGTTTTGGTCAGTAAAGTCAAGGCTGCGTAGTGAGGTGGTGGCAGCAGGCAAGGTCAGTTGCAGGTAGGCCTAGGTACTGCTGACCTCCGCACACGAGTTAACAGATCACCTAGGGTGAGTCCCGGTGTTCCGGCTCTCTTTTTGATCACTCAGCATCATATAGGAATGTTTAAGGGCATGCCACAGAAGCACACTTCAGAAAAACTTACGTAGCTAATATAACTGTATCTCCAGTTTAAGACTGAAGATGCATTTGTTCCACGTTAGAATATATGTAGAAAACACTGTTTTGCTTGCCATCCTTGGTGGTAATAGGCCTTTATTTTTCATGTGTCTCTAGGTTGCTTCCCAGTTACGACTCTTCGATCCTCAGCTGAAGGAGAAGCCGGAGGAGGAGTCCTGTGTGGAGCCTGCCTGGCTGGTCCAGCTGCAGCACGTGGAGAAGCAGGCCAAGGTGTGACTTGCTTTTAGTCCCGGGCCTGGATGGGGACATCCTGACGAGGCGGCTTGTGCCCTGTCGTTTTCACGCTGAAGGGCTTAGGTGTCAGCAGTACAGTCTTAGAGGTGTGAGTGTGTGTCAGAAGGCCCTCACTCCCAGGACAGGAAAGGCTGTCCTGAAGCGCAGACAGAGTGAGTGGGTCGGTGGGGATGGGTGCCGGGACGTGCTCCTGCGGCATCCGACTGTTGGGAGAGCGTGAAGTGTTTCTCCCCTAGGAGGGTGCCATGGTGTGGACTCAGGACGGGGCCTTCCCCCAGCGCTGTCCCAGCACGCCGAGCTCCGAGGGGGCACAGTATGACAGCCCAGGACTCACTCAGCCACCGGGCCTGGGCACTGACAACCCGCTGCTGGTGCCACCTGTGCCCAGTGCTGACCGCTTGAGCCAGAGTGTGCGGCTGCTGCCATCAGGTGAGCCCTGCTCTGCTGGAGAATCAGTGGGCCCACATACCTTTCTCTCACGACAGCTGCCCCCAAACGTGGAACATTCTTGTTCTGCTGTCAGGAGAATCAGGGGATGTTTTGCACCATCACCTCAGTTTTCTCCTTCCTTCTCCCTTGGTGAGCCCATCGGTCTCATGGCTTTAAACATCTGTAGGAGTAGATGGGTGGCCTGTTTGACCCCCACCCATGGAGGAAGGTGGAGGAGAAGACTCAGTGAATACAGGGCTCTGTGCCAGGTGGCTGCTGCCGGGGTGTGTTGGGGTCATGCTGTGGGTTCTGCTATGGGTTCAAGCCCATGCCCCCCATTACATTTAACAACGCCTCCCCTTGGCCCTAAGAAGTCTATGTTCTGCTTCTCCTCAAACCGCTGATGCCCCAGCGTCTTCTGCACTTTCTGCTTTGATGATTGGCTCTCCTGTCCCTTAATAAAAGAAATGTGGCTATCCAAAATAACATGTACTGAATCGTTCAGTAACACCAGTCGGCTTCTTCATGTGACTAGAGGTAGCCTCAGTAACCTTAGACTCTCTCTCCCCCACTCTCTCCGTGCAGCTCCACCAACGCTCCCTGATGACCAGCTGGCTGTCCCCGCCAGGGTGCCTATGTTCCCAGTGCCACTGCCCCCGGGCCCTGTTGAGCCTGGGCTTGTCTGTGGATCCCCAGGGTCTGCACTTGGCTTTCCAGAGCCCTCTGGGCCTGATCCTGCAGCCCTGTACGCAGGGCCTGGCCTGCCACCCGGCGAACCATCTCTCCAGGAGAGTGAACCCCTGCTCCAGGAGGCCAGGAGCCAGGACCCAGGTAGGTTTGCTGAGATGCCGTCCTGAGAGCAGAGCTCAGTTGGGTTTGGTGTGGAAGGAGGAGATTGGTGGAAGCGACTTCAGTCTTTTTAACTTGAAACAAGTTACATTACTTAATGTATACTAAAAATTCTGGAAGTTTTAGGCTGAATGGGTTAACTGAGTATCAGTGCTAATTTCTTTTATGACTTGGTTCTTTGTTAGGATGTGAAGTGTAAGTGGATGTCCAGGGCATGTCAGGCTGGCTGTGAGGTGTGCCCTGGCTATGACCTTGTAAAGTCACCCTAACCCTATAGGCCTCCGTCTGAAAGTCATAGTTGGTGGTTCTTGTCCCTTGTCTCTGCCTGTCTTTTGTCTACTTGGACAAAGCAAAATGTAGACCAGGCTTTAAAAAAGAAACTATGTCCACATATTGGGGAACATTTTCAGTCTAAGTTTCTGAAGTGCTGGGGAGGCAGGGGCGAGGCGGGGAGCTGTGCCCTCGTGAGTGTGTCACCTCAGCGTCTCACTTCCTTGTGCTGTGTGCTCAGCAGCACTATGATCACAGTGGTTCTCTTTTTCTTTGGCAGGAGTGATGCCACAAGAGGCACCTGCTAGAAACTCGCTTTCAGAGCTAAGAGGAGAGGATTTTGGTGGAAAATTTGCTAATCTGGTATTCTCACACTTTTTTTTCTAAGCTTTTTATTTTCCATAAATTTATTGATTAGGTACCCAAACTCCTTGTTCTTAAGTTCTAAGTAAAAAGATAGTAATGAAAATTGTGAGATTATTTTTCAAATTGTGTCTTGAATCCTTAAAATATGGAGTTGGTGAAAAATATTAATAGGGAAAAAGATAACTTAATAGTGTAAAATAGTTACTTTAAGGAGAAGAAATGCCCATCTATAATGAAACTGCCTTGTTAATTTTAACTTTTCTAAAATGGAGAGCTTCCGTGATTTTTGCATCTCTTTTTCTACAGTAGAATCCCTAAAATTGTCACTGGTTCTCTTGAAATTGAGATTCATTTCATCAGACATGTTTGGTATAAATACCACCTCTGTTTGCTCTTATCCCCACCAGGAGGGACAAACATCTTGATACAAACTGCATTCTGGGACCTTTTTTACAGATACCCAGCTTTTTATGGACATCCCATTAGTAGGCGATTGCTCTAGTATAAACCTTCTTTATGTGTTCTACCATTAAAATATCCTGTCCCTGGAAAGGTAACAATAAGAGCTTGACTATATTGAAAACAGTGTCTTAACCCAGGGATAAATACTTTTAAAAATAATTATGTTTTCTAAAATTCCCACTCCCCTGCTCTAACCAATCTTATTCTCAGAGCATCTGCATATTCCATTTCTTCCAGCCCAGTAATTCCACTGAACTCCAGAATCCATGTTTCGAATACTGTCATGCTCCTTGATAAAGTTGCTCATTAAGTACTGGCTGGCTTTCCTTCAGGCACGCCCAAGGGGAAGCCAGGGGCTGCTCACACCAGTCCCCTCCTCACTTCACTCTCTTCGCTGTGGTAATTTGTCCACGGTGATGTTTTAAGGCTCCTGGGCAGGGCCCCCAGTGAGCCTGCTCCCCTGTTGCCTTGGGACAGGGCTCCTCCAGGATGTCGCAGGACTCTGAGGTCCCTCCAGGGTGGGAGTGTGCCAGCTCGGGTGCTCTGCAGCCTTCTCCATCTCTGACCTCCACTCCTGAAATGAAGAGACCCGTACAGACAGCCAAAAAAGAGGTCAAAGAGCCTAAGAAGGTAACATACAGCCCATCTCCAGCTGGGCGGGGGACTGGCGGCCCAGGGATCCCTGGATGGGGGCCCAGCTCCCACAGACAACTTTCCTCATACACTGGCAGCAAGGAAAATGCATTTGTTTCTTTTTTAATGAAGCCAAAAGTTTTTTGAAGTATAATAAGTGTGCAGTAAAGCATTTAAAGCTTACACCAGCTTGATGGTCGTTTATGTGTCTGTGCCCACGTGTCACCACCACCCAGAGCAGAATTAGAACAGTTCCAGCCTCCCAGAGAGTCCCGTGTGTCCATGACTGTCAGTACCCACCCCCGAGGGCGACCTCTCTTCTGACTTCTGTCACCATCCATTAGTTTTGGCTGTTCTTGAACTTCACATAAGCGAAGTTCACTCTTTCTGACCGTGTATAGTGACATCCATTGTATGCGTGTGCCGCAGTTATTCGTCCTTTCCCCTAGTAGTGGACGATGGGTTTGTTTCAGTTTGGGGTTATTATAAATAAAGCAATTTGAGCGGTCTTGTGTGTGTCTTTTGGTGGCAGAGGCCCTCGTTTCTCTTGGGTAGTTGCTTAGGTCACAGGACATCTGATGTCTAGCTTTAGGATATGCTGCCAGACGGTTTTCCTAGGTGTTTGTACCCAGTGGCCCTTCCAGCAGCTGAGTGAGAGAGGTCCAGTTGTTCCACACTGTTGCCTGTGGTCCAGTCCTTGTCCTGTGTGCGTGCGATTGCTGGTCCTTTTCATTTTAGCCATTGTGCTAGAATCCATGATACTTCACTGTGGGTTAGTTTGCCTTTCCCGATGGGTGGCGATGCGGAGCGCCTTTTCATACCCGTGACTACCCCTCTGTCTTCTTCTGTGTAGTGCTGGCTCTGGTCTGCTCCCATTTGGAATTGAGTTGTCAATAATTTGCAGGCGTTCTTTTTGTATTGTGGATACCAGTCCTCTCTTAGATGGACGTACTGCAAATACCTTCTCCCAGTCTGTGGATTGCCTTTTTACTCTCTTAATGGTATCTTATGAAGAACATGGTTCTTAATTTTAAGAGTTCAGCTCACCCAATTTTTCTTTAATGGCTAGTGTCTTAAGTGAACATAAATTTAATTCAAATGTGCACTAATCGTGAGACAGGATGTGGCACTTCCCAGAAGCTGTGAGCCCACAGGTTACCGCGGCCCCCAGTGCAGGTCTGCCTCCTGCTGCAGAGCTCAGAGAAGCAGAGGGAAGAGGGCGTGCGTAGCTGCTGCTGCTGCTGCGTTTTCTTTCTGTTTTGAAGACGTGAAGTGTCCTATATGAAGAGTAAAGTCAATTTCCCTAACACCTGAGGAAATTCCCGAATTCCTCCCTCATGGCCACGCAGAGGCACTTGTTTTGAGGGGGTCCCACACGGACTTTCCCAGCCCGCTTGCCCCTCCTCAGATGGAGAGAATGTCAGAGACTGTTCATCTGTCAGTATTTAGACATGAAGAGCTCCAAAAGGCACTTTATTGTTCTTACTTTTTTTAACTGTGGTAAAATATACATAATTTACCACTTTAATGATTTTTAAGTGCACAGTTCTGTGGCATTAGATACATTCACAGTGTTGTGCAGACATCACCTCCCTCTGTCTCTAGGATTTTCTCATCTTCCTAAACTGAAACGCTGTCCCCATTAAACACTCGCCCCCATCCCCTCCCCCAGCCCCTGGCACCCCCATCCCACTTCCTGTCTCTGTGGGTTTGACTCCTCTCGGTCCCTCGTATGAGTGGAGTCCTACAGGATTTGTCCTTCTGTGTTGGGCTCATTTCACTCAGCATGATGTCTTCAGGTTGTTCTGATGGTTTTTCTATTCAGAGTAGTGAATCCTGGTTCTCTCGTTGGCTACCTGGGAAAAAAAGGACAGAGGCTTATTTGCCAGATGACAAGAACAAATCGGTGAGTGTCGTAAAATGTGGCACTTGAGGAATCAGTATGTATTTTCATGATGTACTGTTGGTGTTGTTTGCACAATATATTTCATCTTCAGAATGAACCTGAATAGATGTTTTCTGAAGTTTTAAAGTGTCGTAAGTAATCAAACTCTAATTCTGTTCAGCTTTATCTACTGACTTATTTCTTTACTTTTCACAATCATGGCAGATTGTCTGGGATGAAAAGAAGAACCGATGGGTGGACGTAAATGAGCCAGAAGAGGAGGTAAATTGGAATGTTAGGTATTTGCTGTGACTAGAAGGAAAGCTCCTACAATAAAAGCTTCAGTCTGTGGAGTGTCCCAGTGGGTCTTGGGGCCATGAGCAGATTTCTGAAGCAGTTTTTCCCCATGCAGAAGAAGGCTCCGCCCCCACCTCCAACCTCACTTCCCAAGGCTCCGCAAGCTGTCCCGCCAGGTCCTGGAGGGCCCCCCAGAGCCTCTGTGAACATGTTTTCTAGAAAAGCAGGTAACAAAGTCAAACCGGAAATTAAAGTTTGTTTGGATAATGTATTTGTCCTACAGATACACCAGAGTTTAGTGGTTGTAGCATATATATCAGAAGGTGGTTTGTCACGTTATAGAAGGGAATGCTAGTTTTATGCGGATAAATCCATGGGGGAAGATGCCAGTTCTCTAGAGTGTTAAAACAGTCCTCAGCAGACCGTCCGCTCTTAATGAGCAGAGCAGAGTCCCATCGATCAGAAATGCAGCACTGTAGCGTCATGGTGCGAAATGAGAACCTCACCCCAGGGCAGAAGCCAGGCAGATGTGCTCTGTGGAGAGGCGCCCTCTTCACGGCTGGGCCACTGCGGGCGTGGTGAAGATGGAGCCAGGTGGAAGCCGGGTCACGTGGTGTGCCGACCTGAATTTGCTGCTCTCCCCGTCGCAGCTGGCAGCAGAGCACGCTACGTGGACATCTTAAACCCGGGGGGCGCCCGGCGGACTGAACCAGCTCTCGCGCCCGCGGAGTTGTTTGCTCCACTTGCTCCACTGCCAATCCCAGCTCACTTGTTTGGACCAAACCCAGGTAGGCAACACAGGAGCAGCACGTCTGCCAGCCACGTGTTGGCCTCCTAAGCTGTGACCCTCTGTCTGAGAGCCTCCGGCCTTAATCTCCCTGTGAGAAGCACGGCCCAGCCAATGCGCAGAGAGCCTGAGGTCCGTCCTGCTCGTTGGTGGGCTTGTTCCCTTTTCCCCGGTGAGCGCACAGCGTGAAGCTCTTGCCCGTGGACTGTTGCACTGACACCCCAGAGATGTTCTGGACAGAACCAGGGCTCCCACACTGTCTCCTTCACAGATGCAGAGGAAGCACCGCCTGCAGAGGGGGCCAGCAGGGAAGGGCAGGCACCAGCTGGGGGGCCGGCCAATCCAGAGCCTGCCTCAGAACCCAAGGTGAGCAGGTGCAGCGGGACAGGGGCGCTCAGGGAGAATTTGCCTCTTCACCCGGGAAAGTTGGCCCTAACCTTTTGTGAGTTATCCATTGTGTGCATAGAATCCTCCATTTCTGTCGGAAATCTCTTTCCTATTAAATATCCTTTAGGGAGTTGCAAGTTATAACCACGTACATGTTATGTGATAGTTTTATCTTACTGAAATCATAGTAGTAAAGATTTTATTTTAATGTTCAAAACTTATATGTGAAATATAATCATTTAGAGGGTGGTCTCTGACGTTGGATAGACCTGGATTTCAATGCTGGCTCCCCATTAATTAGCTGTTTTAAGTTTAGGAAAGTCACTTAGCTTCTCTACGCCTCAGTTTCCTACTCTGTGAAATGGGATAACAGTTACACCAGGTCCCAAGGCCATTGAGGGTCACACAGTAGGTGTAGCTGTTGCTATTGGAATCTGTCGGACATGTGACTGTAATCTCCAGGCACACGCAGAGTATTTTCTTTCCGTGACTTCTCAGAAGGAGCAATTATACGTGGAGTAGACGGGTTTGTAACGTGGCCAGAGCAACGTTCCATGATATTCTGCCTTGTGTGGAGACTGATTCCCTAGAACTTGCTGGTTGCTGCATTTCTCCTCTTTCTCGGCAGGTGTCGAGTTCTGCAGCGTTGCTCCCTGGCACTGAAGTCCTGCCCTCTCGAGTGGACGGCTCCCAGGGAGGAGAGGTAAGGGGCGCCCAGACGAGAATGTCTGCCTGAGATCTAGGCTGAGGAAGCCCGTTTTTATTGTCCAAATGAATTCTTCCTTTAAAAACGAATGTTAATGAGTAAGAAAAGGCAGTTGAGAAACTTTTTAGAACTTGAAAGGTGTTGTATTCCTTAAAAAAAAAATCATAGGTGTTTGAGCAAAATTGGGAGCTCCAGACAGAACGCAAGGTTTGGGTTCTTGTCCCTCAGCCGCCTCCCTTGGCGTGGCACGTCACCTCTGGGATTTCTCAGGCGGCAGAGGCCAGGCTGGCCTAGGCCAAGGGCTGGAGAGACCCCCTCCCCCCACTAATGTTTCTTAATGAAAACTGTACATTAAAATAGGAATTTTAAGCTAACTCTGGCTTTTTTCCCATTTGAATTGTATTGATTCTAATGCCATCATAAACCTCTTTGGAATTAAACTGACAGCTTGGAGCAGTGACATGCATGTTGATTTTTTTATTTGTCTGTATTTTGTGTGTGTTCTTGCTGTTTTGTAGCTTTCTCGCTGTAGTTCAATGAGTTCATTGTCACGTGAAGTAAGCCAGCATTTTAACCAGGTACCTATGGCTGGCAGTTTTCACTGAACCAGAGTTGAGTTGGGTCGCCCTTGTTTTCCTGTGAGAGTGCTGTGCTGGCTGTCAGTGTGCACTTTGTCACTAACGTCACCCACGGTCTCCCCAGCCAGTACGCGACCAAGGATGCAGTCTTCCTTTCTTTACACGTTCTTAAAGGCGTCGTTCAGTATCCAGATACACGGACGACTGAATTGATGCCAAGATGCTCGTAGTGAACGGATGAGCTTTGTAACTGTGCTCTTTCTGAATTGGGTTTTTCCAATGCCTGGCCTTGGGTGGAGCCTCACCGCATGTGAGTGTGTTTCAGAAGCCCACCTGTGTCAGCACGCTCTCATTTGGAAGGAAGAATTGCTTTTCCTGAGCAAGCACAAGAAGGTTTATTTTGGGCCTGACCACGTGTAGCAGTGACCACTGTCTTGTGGCCAGTCTGGGTGGGGACTAAAGGAATACTTCATCTTGTATGTGTGTCGTGGAACAAGCTTCTCCCATCGGCTCAGGAGAAGGGCTTCATCTGACTTTTATGTGCATATTAAACACTGGATTTTGTGCGGGATACTTGAGGTCTGAAGTAATCAAAATGCCTACTAACTGCTGACCTGACGCCAGTGTGGCATCCTGGTGCTGTGCACGCCTCATGTTTGCATGCTCTGGTTTCTAAAGCGTTTCACTCTGCATGTTGCTTTGATTTCTACCACTTTTCTGTGAACCATTAAATAATTAAATCCAGTGTTGTAAGAAGTATCTTCGACCTGCTTCTGTGGCTTATTTAAAAGTACTAGAAAACCTTATTCAGAAATACTGTCTCTATCTGCAAATGAAACAAACTGCTATGTGACACTGCGTTGTTGAGATGGACTCTCTGTGCTTCTCAGGCTCCTGGTGATCCGCCCCCTGCAGGAGCCCTCCCTGGAGGAGCAGTGCCCTTCTACAACCCTGCTCAGTTTGCACAAGTAAGTGTCCTCGCTGTCTCCTCGGGGCGGGAAACGGGAGAAGGCCTTTCCTCCAACCCATGGCCCTAAGCTGCCTGCTGACCCCTTCTCCCATCTCTGCCGCTGCCCTTGGGTCAGTGCTCTGCTCGGGGTCCTGTGGTTTCCTGCTGACGTGCCCTGGTGTGGGTCTAACTCCCTCCCTGGTGCTGGCCTTGGCCGCCCTTCACCTGGTACCTCGTGTCCCTCCATCAAGAATGTTCTTGAATGTTTCCTTTTCTTTCTCTCCCTCTGCTTCCTCTCTTCTCCCTTCCAGGCTCTTGCCTGTAGCGTACTGACTGGCTGCCAGTGTGGGGGGAGCTGCATGGGGGAAGAGGTCGTGGGGGGAGGGTCTTGGCATTCAGAATGGAAAACCTCACCTGACCCCCGGGCTGTCCTGAGGCAGACCCTGCCCTTGTTGCCTGCTGTGCCTGGCCTCCTTACTCTGCACACGCTTCCCCCGGCTCCTGGCTGTCCTCTGCTTCGGGGCATCTGTAGCTGAGGCTGTTTCTCAGCCTGCCCCCAGGACTGCTGGGCCCCAAGTTAGCACCTGGTCGTCCACCTGCCTTCCCGCCTCGAGACTGGTTGTTGTCTTCTTCCCCCCGTTCCTTTACCTGTACTTGAGGCCTTTACAGAAGTCCCTCGACTTCCATTTCAGTCAGGATTTGCGGGGGAGTGAGAGTGAGGGCCTGTGTTGTGTTCCCTCTTTCCCTGGGCATTGTTCCCTGCATCTTCCCTGGAGTCCTTAGACACTCTGCCCTGGGGATCGGCCTCACTTCTCCCCTCCCAGATGACACTACAGACGCCTTTCCAGGGAGCGCCAGGATTGGGTACTGAACTGGTCAGTTGTCATGGACTTGCAGAGACAAAGCAAGCAAACCATGCCGATTTGTTGAGATCGGTGTCTATTCTGGCTTGTTCCATGGACCTGCGTCCCGGGTCCTGCCCACCTCCGGGGAGGGACCTGCGGAAGTCACTGCTGTCTCCTCATGTTGTTTCAGGCCCCCACCACCTCGGCAGGTTCCAGGACTGGGAGGATTGGCCAGAGGAAATACCCAGCGTTGAGCTAGAATAGTCCCTGTTCTGCAGTAGCATCTGGAACCCTGAAATTATTATTCTCCACCAAGAACTCGGACTGATTGCCTGCGACCTCCCTCCTGTTCCCAAACGGACACAGCTGTGATGCACAGCCGTTAAACTCAGCATTGCCTCCTCACCTCCTGTCTTTAGGAAGTCAATTCCACAGTTCCTTTAAGACGCTGGGTGAAGAGAGGGAATCTTTGACTCAGAATCTCTTGCCTGAACGACTGACTTGAGGATACAGCATTCTTAGTCATCTAAGAATGTTACGCCAAGTGAAGCTGGAAACGTCTTTGCTGTAGGAGGGACTTTGCTCTTCAGTAACCAGAGCGTCTCTCAAAACCTAACAGTGGATTATCGCCACAATAGTCCCCTGGTTCCTTAAAGATGTGGGAAGAAAAGAGTGAGCCTTTGACTCCAGAGACAGAAACACCAGCGACTGCTCTGCAGCCAAAGGTAGTCAGCTCCCTGCCCGCGCTGTTTCTGAACCGAGAAGAGTGACTTAACGGGTCACAGTCTTCTTCAGTGTCTTAGAGGAAATATGGAGCTAATTGAGCACTAATGCAGTTAGGTTCTGAGAGAGGCCCTGGGTACTGAGGTGCATTTCTCTCCTGTAGCAATGACGTTTCAGCTTCACTGAATTTTCTGTGGCCTAATTAGGACCATGAGGAGTTCATGAACCAAAGGGACTGGCTCTGCCCACTCACGAGGGCCGGCTCCACTGCTGGGAGAAGCCGTAGCAGAACTTGTGTTCTTAATGTGACTCGTCCAGATTAATCAACCAGTGTTAAAACTGTGACCGTAACTAATTTGATTTGGATTTTTTCAGAATGTGCACAGCCTGGTTAGACTCATTGTCAAGGAAACTGTATGGATTGCCATGCTCTTTCTAAAGTAGTGGATGCTGTACTTTCTCATGGCTGGTTTCTCTAGGGCGATCCAGTTGACTTACTTTCTCTCACCTGGTTGACATCATTTAAGGAGTTGGTAACATCTTGAAGAAAGTGGCTTAAAATAATTCTTTGACAGAAGCTCTGGGATGTGATTTATTTCTGCCCCTGAATTTTTTCTACACTAAGATCTTCAGTAGCTAATATGTTGACTATCAGCCATATGAAACTGCAAAAGAAGACCTCCTCTTACTGGACTCCAAGCTTTAAGGCTGCATCGACTGTTCTTAAAACTGTTCACTTTCTTGTTGTCTGAAGAGACTGAAGAAAAGATTTAAATGTTTATAAAAATCATTAGGAAATATTTCTTTAGGTTCTGTTGGGGGCACATAGTTTGCTTGGTACTTTAAATCTAAGTGTAGGAATTGTGTAAATGTGGAATTAGCCCAGGTCCTTCCCATTTTTCTGGTTCACCTGATCATCTAGGAAAGACCCACAGATGTTTTCCAAAGTGTTTCATAGGTTTGTTGACCAGATCCATTTGTTCTTGTCACTTTGAGAAAGGCCGGCCTTGCTGACGGGCAGCCTCCTGTTTCCCGTGGTCAGCTCAGTGTGATTCCTGGGACCCGAGACGCTCCTGGCGCCCTCGGCTTCCTCCGGTCCAGCCCTGCCCTTTGTTCTCCGTCGACTGCCAGCCACTTTTGATTCAAGAAGCTTCCTCTGAGGCAGGAGCTGCTATTTTTCCTAAATGCAAATTGTTACACTGCAAATTGTTAAATAAAATATTTTGCGCTCTCAAGCACTTTCTCCTGTCGGTCCCTTTTGTTTATTGGCAGCGAGTGAGCCTCCCGGACCAGGGCACCCTAGGAGCCCCACCTGCACTTTTTTTTTCTTTTTTTATATTCAGTATTTTATTTATTTGCCCAATGCCCCTGTAATCAGTGTCCCAGCCAGGATGCTGCTTCCTCAATCCTGCCATCTCCTCAGCCTGTAGCTTTCCAAGGGAAAGAAAAGGGTAATGAGTAGTCATGCATTTTTTTTTTTTTAATTATTGAGGTGGTTTTTGGCCTATAACATTGTGTAATTTCAGGTGTGCATTATTTATATCAGTGTCTGTATAGACTGCCTAGAGTTCACCAACAGTCTAGTTTCTATGATCACCATACACACGTGCCCCTACCCTTTCGCCCTTTCCCGGCCCCCTTCCCCTCTGGTAACCACTAATCCGTTCTCCTTACCTATGTGTTTATCTTCCACATGTGAGTGAAATCTTACCGTGTTTGTCTTTCTCTGACTGACTTTGTAAGACTTGAAACCTTACAACTCACCTGCACTCCCATGCAGCTTCTCCAGGAGGACGGGCTCTTGATGGGCTCGCGGGGAGGAGGGGCTCGTCTCCGTGATGGCGGTGGGTGGGTTTGCTGTGAAAACCCATCCTGATGGCAGTAAGCAATGAGGTCTCGGGAATACCTGCTCCCCGGGGAAGCTGTGCAGCAATATGCGGAGTAGGAGGGTTGTCTTAGGATTTCATTGATAGGAAAGGTCAGAGGCAAGTCTACAGGGGTGGCCAGTAAATCAGGGGCTGGGGGCGGGGTAGGGTGGGCGGTCGCGGCCGCAGCCCCTGTGGCCCCGCAGAGGAAGGAAGCCGGAGGTGGGGGGTCCCCGGCGCAGGGCCCCCTGGCGCCCCTGGAGTCACCCTCCATTCTCGCGTTGCCGGGTGGGTCCTCCGGCCGCCAGGGGCCGCTGCGGGCGCCGCGTCTGGGCCGCCCTGCCCGCCGGTTGCCGGGGAGCTGCCGCCCAGGCCCGCGGTCTGGGAGGGGGCGCCGCCGAGAGGTGCGGGCACGGGGGTCCTGGGCGCGGGGGGACCCCTGTGCAGGGGCGCAGGGTGCGGTGCGGAGTGAACCCTGGGCGCGGAGTCTGGGCGAGTTCAGAGCGCGGGGCCCCGGCGCGCGGTCGGCGGTCCTGGGCGGGGTCCGGCGCGGGGTGACCCCTGCAACGCGGGGGTCCTGGGCGGTTCTGGCGCGGGGTGACCCCGGGGCACAGGGCGTCTTGGGCAGTTCTGGCGCGAGGTGACCCCGGGGCGCGGGGGTCGTGAGGCGCGGGTCTCGCTTACCCCACCCGCCCCCCGGCGGCTGCGCGACGGTCGTTGCCCTGGAGAGCCCCGAGGCCGGCCGTGCTGGACCCTCAGGTCCTGAGTCGGGGCCTCCGCAGCCGGGGCCGCGGAGCTGCTCAGGGTCGCCCGCTCGCGGGGCGGGGTCTGCGGGCGGCGATGGCGGTGGGCCGGCAGGTGAGCCAAGGGCCGCAGCCCAGCGGAGGAAGAGGCAGGCGGGACCCCGTCGAAGCAGCGCCTGTGAACTGGCCTGCACTGGCCTTCACCCTGGGGGCGGAATTCTTGGTCATGCCGCTAGCACCCCACATGAGGGGCCAGCCCCCCACTGGGATGGTGGCCTCGGTCTTAAGATGTGCAGCTTTCACCCACCTCCTAGGAGGAAGCAGCAGGGCGGAATGTCTAAACGCTTGTTTTTGCTGGACTGCTGCTGGCCTGTCCATTCCGTCACCCTGCACCATAGCTGTCCATTAGGAACATTAAATTGACATCAGGGCCACGGTCATGGACAGCTAATAGCACGGTTTTCCTTTAGGTACCTGTGAGGGACCCCAGGACTTCAGAGCTTCCAGCCATGCAGCAACTGGCCCTGCCCCTACTGGACCACCCCAGGCCTGAAGGGGAGCTGCTGCCCGTTCTCTCCTCTGCGCCTTGCCCGGCGACATCTGACCACGCAACCCTGACGCTGGGCGTTGCCCACAGCCCCAGGAGGAGCCGTCTCTGGGGTCGGCGAGGCTGCCACCTTCTGTGACAGCTGGCCCCTGGACTATGCCGTCCAAGCCGGCGGGCCTGGGGCACTCAGAGGCGGTGCCCGAGCAGCCCACCGCCCATGGGCATCTGCAGCCTGAAGGCAGAATGCTCAAGGGGCAGCTTCCAAGGACAGACGGAGACCTCGCCTCTTGCCCGGAGCCCCTGCCCACTGACAGCTGTCAAGGCCCAGAGAACAGTGCAGTGCTCCCTCCGAACATTCCAGCCAACATCAGCAGTGAGAACCCACAAGCTAAGACAAAACCCTTGACCCCAAAGCCGCCGACGAGGCCCAGGCTGGAGCGAGCGCTGTCTCTGGACGAGAAGGGCTGGAGGAGGAGGCGTTTTCGAACCAGCCATGAGGACCTGGCCGCCCGGAATGGGGCCAGCCCCTCCAGGGCCTCCTCCCAGGAGGAGGCCCCCGGGCCCTCCTCCCCTAGTTGCCCCCCACCCTGCCTGAGCACCTCCTTGCAGGAAATCCCCCCTTCCCGCAGGGCCCCGGGTGGTAGCCCCTCCTCGTGGGGTAACTGTCTTTCCGGAATGATCAGCACTTCCCTGGACCTCCTGCACCGGGATGGGGCTGCGGCCGGAAGCACCCCCAGGCTGGCCAGCGTGCTTCCCCCACGCCCAGCGCCTGCCATGGACCGGAACATGGTCTCCAACTCCCTGCGGACAGCCAACAAGGTGGACCCAGATCACGCCGACTACAAGCTCCGCCTGCAGACCAGGCTGTTCCGGGCCCACAGCAGCCTGGGCCCCGGCCGGCCCCCGAGCCCCCTGGCCTGCGATGACTGTTCCCTTCGCTCGGCCAAATCCTCCTTCAGCCTCCTGGCGCCCATCCTCGCCAAGGACGTCCGGAGCAGGTAGGGCTCCCAGGCAGGCGGCACCATGGTCTCTAGTTCAGCGTCGTAAGGTGAGGCATGCGAAGGTGTTCTCCTAAACACGTGCAAGGTGCGTGAACATGGAGACGAGAGCAGATCTTCCCTCACTAACCCCCATCCCCCAGCTCCTTCTGGAACTTTCCCTTGTATCTCAGCACACACTTGGCCCTCGTACCTGTGACATACGTGGTTTAGATCCACGGGTCACCTACACACCGTGCTTGGTCTTGTTTCCTCTTCCTGTGTCTTGCCGTGTCTTGGACAGCCTCTTTGTCAGTGTCTGCCCCGTGGTCTGTCCCCCTGCAGGACTGATTCTAAGATGCACTATTGAGCTGGGCTGTTACTTAACCTCCTTGCTAAGGACGAGCATTAGGGGGACCCTAGTTGGTGAAGGACGGAGCACAGCAGCGAGCAGCCATGGATGTGCCCCGTGCATGCGCGTGCCGGGCACTTTTCCAGGACAGAGAGCTAGAAGTGAAATTGCTGGACAGAGAGCGAGGGCTGTTGGTGACTGTGGCCAAGCCACACTGTGGGGAGGGTCCCTGGGGTCCACTCGCTGGCAGGGAGGGGACAGCGGACAGGGCCTGATCTGCTGCACTTTGCCTCCAGGAGTGTCCCGTGACTTCTCGTGCATCCTGGGGCTCAGTTTGCTGAGTGCCCCATCGATCGGCCTCCCGCTGGGCCCCCACAGCCCCGTGGACAAGGGAGGGCTCACATCACAGCCGATGCTTGGTTTCCGGGCATTATGGGGCTTTAATAATTAATCCTATTGACTTTTTTATGGCTTGAAAAGTAGCTGGGTGCTGCCCCCCATGTCTGCCCTCTGCTCGTGACTCCCAAATGCACACTCACCCCTCCCTAGGCCAGAGCCATGAATCTGCCAGACTGGCATCCCAGACACTTTTGGGCCCAGGGCATCCAAACCTGCTACCTCTTCTCTGAGCCTGGCCTTCTCCCAGGCCCCTCTGAGTGCCCAGGCTATAACTCAGAAAGTTGTCTTCTGCCCTCCCTCTCCTTCCTCGCCACAGTCCTGCCCATCCAGGCCGGGCCAGGATGACAGCTCTCGAGGCTCCTGCTTCTCCCCACACCCCTCCCACCACGCTGGCCAGGACTCCACCCCCTACCAGGGCTGGGGGTGATGTTCCAAGCATACATGAGGCCATGGCCCTGACTTGGGGGCCCCATGCCGCCCACTCTCTGATGTGGCACCCAAGGCCCAGGGTGAGCTGGCCCCACTTCCCTCGCCAGCCTCTTCTCTCATCGCCACCCCTGCCTGCCACACCTCCAGTCTGGACTAGGCCAGCGCCAACCCCGCTGGACATGGGGCCGGGGGAGGGAGAGTGTGAGATGGTCGCTGTGTTGGTGTCCTGGGGCTGCTGTGACCACTTACCACACACTGGGAGGCTTAAAAGGACAGAAATTTACTCTCTTACAATTCTGGGGGCTCGAAGTCTAAAATCCCAGTGTAGGCAGAGTGGGGCTCCCTCCGGAGGCTCCAGGGTAGGACCTTCCTGCCTCTCCCAACTCCTGGTGGCTCCAGTCACGCCTCTGCTTGTGCCGCATCCCACCCGTCTCTGCTCTGTCTCCACACTCCTTCTCCTGTGGGTGTGTCCTCTCCTCTTCTTGGAAGGACACCAGTCACTGGCTGTAGGCCTCACCCTAATCCAGGAGGATCTCATCTCAAGATCCTTAACTAATTACATCTGCAAAGACCCTTTTTCGGAATAAGGTCGCACTGGCAGGTTCTGGGGTGAGGAGGTGGACGGAGGTAGTCCTTACCTCCCTCCGCCCTGGTGAGCCCAGCAGTGATGGCCAGGCGGGTGGTCCCTCTCCAGCACTGGAGTGAGGGCCCCTGCCCCCCACACTCCCTCCATCAGCACCGGAGGGTTGTTTATAGGAGAAAACGGTTCCTTTGTTAAAATAATTCGTGTGTTCCTTGTAAAGAGCGAAATCTCTTCATGCATTTGAAGTATTATTACACTGTTTAAGTTAAATGTAGTTTCTGTTGACTTGCCTGTTATATAAAATGAGAAGCGTGTCTCAGAATTGGACCCCCATTCATTGTTTTCAGACGAGCAGCAAACACTGGGTTGATGGGGGTTTCCCACCCCAGTTCTGCCTAAAGTCCCCCTGTGTCCAGACTCTCCTTGTGTTCAGGGGTCAGCACGCTTTTTCTGTAAAGGGCTGGATAGTAAATATTTCCATTTTGTGAGCCATATGGTGCCAAAAAGAAAAAAAGCAGTCACAGACCACACATACACCAACAGCCGTGGCTGTGTGTCAATAACAGTTTATTCAGGGACACTGAAATTTGAAGTTTACGTAATTTTCCTGTGTCATGAAATACAGTTTTTTCCCAGCCATTTAAAAGTGTAAAAACAGGGCCGGCCCCGTGGCTTAGCGGTTAAGTGCGCGCGCTCCACTGCTGGCGACCCGGGTTCGGATCCCGGGCTCGCACCGACGCGCTGCTTCTCTGGCCATGCTGAGGCCGCGTCCCACATACAGCAACTAGAAGGATGTGCAGCTATGACACACAGCTATCTACTGGGGCTTTGGGGGGAAAAAATAAATAAATAAAATCTTTAAAAAAAAAAATAATAAAAAAAAAAATAAAAGTGTAAAAACGATTCTTGGCCCGTGAGCTGTACACAAACAGGCCGGATCCGGCCCAGTCAGAGCCTCGAGTCCAGGGCTGGGAGGGCCGGGGGCTTTGGGAGACACAAGGAGCAGACGGGCTTGACGGTGACGCTTTCCCGGGAGCAGCGTGGGGCAGCGTCCGGCCCTGGACGCAGGAAAGGACTGTGTGGCTGCTTTCGGGTTTGGAAAAGAGAACACCCCAGGCAGGGGAGCCGCAGCCCCAGCTGCCTACTGGTGTTAGAACACGGTCGGCCTGTTAGGATTCTCAACGTGGAGGGGCCCCATGTTTGAGGAGGTTCCCCCCTCCTGACATCATTTAATTTATGTCTCCGAAGCTTGGCAAGGGTTTGAGAATTTCTCACGCGAGTTCCTGAGATCCGGACTCTGGCTTTCAGTCGGTCAGCCATGGAGCCATGCTCCTAAGTGACCTTCAGAAATTGGTTCCTCCTTGCAAGACTAAGAAATAAGATTTTCTTAGCGAATTGGAATGAAAAGTCTAAGTCGGAAGTTTGAAAGACACTCTGGGTGTCTGTGAACTGATGATAGATTGACTCCGCGCGTTCCCACCCCTGAGAACTCGATCCTGCCCGGTCCTGGCAGGATATTAGCATAAGCCCACAGTGACGAGAGCAGGGACCGGGGCATCCACAGGTGACAGGTTCTCCTTGTTCCAGAAGGTGGAGGCAGGAGGTAACTGATGTGCCAGACGGCTTGGGGGGTGCGTTTGGGGGCGATGCCCCCCAACAAGGGTGGGAGTGAACCCTGGGGCAGAGGTCCCAAGTGATCAGTTACACCAGGTCGTCCAGCCCCAGGGAAGAGCCCTCCACCTGCGCTGTTCCGAGCCCACCCTCACAGCAGCCAGCTGCCCACCCTGTCTTCCCACACCGAAGCCCCCAGGGGCCAGGCCTCATCACATCACAAAACCCACTCAGCCTCTGGGGCTCCCTCTCAACTGACAGGACTGGGAGGGCCCGCACAGCGGGAGACGGGGGAGGCCTTGGAAGAAGCAGAACTTGCTGCATCTGTGAAACCAGAAAGCACGTCCTGCAAAGAGCAGCTGTTTGCAATTCCTGAAGATAAGTGGGATCCCACGCGGCTATTGGGTGACGGCTGAGAGGAGGGACATTCTGGTGGACTGATCAGGCCAATGCCATCTGAACCCACCAACCCATCTTGGTGTCACTAGGGGGGGACAGGACACATGGAGCTTGTTGGGGCACGTCCGCCTGGGTGAGGGCACAGAATCTAATCAGCCTCCGGACATCATAGACGCTCCGGAGACTTGTACAGGACGGATGGCCAGTGTCCCCAGTAGACGGGTGGCATGGGGGAAACAGGCCCGTCATAGAACTAAAGAGACCTAAGAGACAAAACAGCCAGAGACGGAGGGTGGCCGCTGTCTGGGTCCTGACCTCGCGCTGGGTTGGAAGAGGGCTCTTGAAGGAGGGCTCCGAGGAGCAGGAGGACCGCGCACAGTGCAGCTGGAAACACCGGAGGCTGCTGCGGGCCAATGCTGCGCGAGAGGCAGAGGGACAGTCAGGAGGAGCAGACAGCGCCACCTCCCCACGCCCCGCTCACTGAGGCGGATGCCTTCGAGGGACGCCTTCGAGGGAGCCGGGAAGGGCGGCAGGGGCCTGGGGGAGACCGAGCTGAATTTCTTCTCCTGCCACGACAGACAGCAGCGCCCGGGGCCATCTGCCAAGACGCAGCGCGGCGTGCAGACATCTTCTCCAGGGCGGGTCTGGTGGGACGGCGTGGGCCAGTGCCGCCGCAGCCTGTTTTTGTGCAATCCGCCAGCTAAGAACTGTTTTACGGTTTAAATGGCTGAAAAAAATCAAGACATTACAAATAATATTTCACAGTAAGTGAAAATCACATGAAAGGCAGATTCCAGTGTCTGTGAATGAAGTTTTACTGGCACACAGCCGCACCCTCTTCTTCCATGTCAGCGGTGGCTGCTTTCAGCAGAGTTGAGCGGCTGTGGCAGAGACCGATGGCCCGAAAAGCTGAAAACACTACTGTCTGGCTCCTTACAGAAGAGTTTGCTGACCCCTGGAGCAGAGGAAACCAGTGTTGAGCGGGACCCTCCAGGCCAGGGCAGGGCCAGGGTGAAAGTTCTATTGTCTTCTGTTCTGGCCTTTGCAACACTATTTGACATTTTTAACCATTTGCCTGTGTTATTCTATTACAATCTTAAAGTCGGTGGAAACTGTTGGGTGACATGAGGATGGCTGTAGTCTATGCTGCTGCCACGACCTCCCCGTCCTAGACTGCGAGATGACAGCCAGGGCCTCGCCCCAGAAAAGGTTGCATGTCCTCCCCCAAGTCGGCCTGTAGTCCAGAAGCCCACCTTGACCTCCACACCCCCGCTTGCCCTTAAGAGGTTCCACCAAAAAAGCCCCAAATGTCACCTTCTCGTCCCTTCTTGGGGGCAACTGAGAAAAGTTGAAGGCGTGCTGGTGTTTCTAGAACTGCACACGGCGGGTTTTCCAAGAGAGCAGGTGGACCACAGCGCTGTGCTCCATGAGAGCCGACAGGGTCTTTAGGAAACCCTGGCTCTGGGAGAGAGGCTCCCCAACTCGGGATCCGTGTTGCCTGGGGCCGAGGCTGACAGGCATACCCCCAGATGTGTGTCCTTGCAGCCGGCCCCTCCCTGGGTCCGTCTGCTCCGTCCCCGTGCTTAGTCTGCCCCTCTCTCCACAGGAGCTACCTGGAGGGGAGTCTCCTGGCGAGCGGGGCCCTGATGGGGGCGGAGGAGCTGGCCCGGTACTTCCCAGACCGGAACATGGCCCTCTACGTGGCCACCTGGAACATGCAGGGCCAGAAGGTAAGCGGGCCGCCCCACTCCCACTCGGGACGAGGCTGGGGTTCCTTCTAGATTCTGTCCCGGGGCCTCCAAGCCGCACGCTCTCTGCCTGCCCCTTCCCCACCTCCCCGGTCACCCCCAGAGAAGCCTCCTGGCCATAACACGGCTCCCTCACCCACCTCTCCACTGCCCGAGGGGTGTTAATGTGTTCCTTTCACATGCATGCTTTATTGTTTAGAGCACTTTTAGGTTCACAGCAAATTTGAGAGGAAGGTACAGACATTTCCTGTAGACCCCCTTCCCCCAGCCCCCAACAGCCTCCCCACTGCCTACACCTCCACAGGCCCTGGTTGCTACGATCGATGGACCTGCGCTGACTTGTCACGGTCACCCAGAGCCTGTAGTTGACCTTGGGGTCACTCTTGGTGAACATTCTGTAGGTCCTGACAAACGTGTCAACCTTAAAAATAAAACAGCCAGTTATTTTACCAGCAAAAGGAGTTTATTTGGAAATAGCCAAAGAATTGCAATTCTCTGCCGCAATGCTATGGCAGCCCACAGGCAAGTCCAGCCATCAAAGGAGAGGAACGTCATTTTAAAGAGAGAAAGGAGGAAGCTGGGAGGGGCTGTTGTGAACAAAGTCCACTGGAGAAAAGCCGAGTTCAGGGTGGTGATGGCTTCTCTTTGGCCGAGTTGCTGGGGTCCTGGATTTCTCTCTGGGATGCAGTGACATTTCTTCCTGTAGTTGACCATCTTCCCGTGACTGACCTTGGCCCGGCTGCATGGGGGCTCCCCCTTCTGGCTTCCTGACTCCATTTCACACGAGGTTTCCCTTGACTAATTCTCACTCGTGTGAGGACATGTGTCTGCCGTCGCGCACCGGAGTAGTGTCAGGCTCGCTGTAGCGTTATCTGTGTCTGTTTCAAATTGTGGGTCTCCCGCAACAGCTGGCGGCTCCCCACCCGCCTATTCCCCCCAAACCCGCCTGGAGTCGCCTGCGAGCTGGGGTGCTCAGGAAGGCTTTGTGGATGAGATGAGAGGGAAGCCTCCAGCCACTCTGACCGCCACGGTCAACCCAGAGCTGGACAGGCCGGGGGTGGTTCGCATGCTGGGGGCGTTTGCTTCTGGGGGTGTCCCCATCCCTATCGGCTTTCTCTCCAGCTGACACAGTGAGGTCTGTGCGCAGGCTAGCAGGCTCCCTCCCCCTGCATGTGGGTGCTCTGATTTCTGGGCACCAGGAGTGGACTTTTCTAGATGGGTGATCCTAATGCCCGGTGGAGTGAACAAGGTGATTGTTGCCACAAGTGGTGTCTCGGGCCGTTCCCCAAGCACCTCCTGTCGCCTACGTGTGCCAAGGTGTTTAACAAAGACAGGATGGAAGGACTTCCCTTCCTGCGGCCGTGTCCCAGGCTGAGGTTCGGGGTGACAGGCGCTGGGGAGAAAACACGGCAGGGCTGCCGTCAGGACAAGGTTTGGCTGATGTGACCAGAAGCCTGAGGAAACAGCGACCTGAAGGAGATGGGAGTAAGAGGAGGCCGGTGCCCAGGCTGGTGGCTCCGCCGTCCTCGGGGAGCCACCCTGCCCGTCCACAAGCGCGGCCCTCGTCCAGGGCCAAGAGGGCCAGAGCCGGGCAGCAGGCAGCGTCACTGGCAATGGGCTGGAGTGAAGCCACACGGTGGGGCAGTGAAGACAGTTGAGGGGTGCTCCCCTCCAGGACCCGCTGTGCCCCGGGCTGCAGTGAGGGGGACGTGAGGGGGAGTGTCTCCACCCCATGTGCGTGTTGGGGTGCACGTGCAACAGAGCAAACAGCAGCGTGCACAGGGGGCTCGTGGCGAGGGAGGCGGCACAGACGCGGCCTTGGCGACGACAGACTCGGGGGTGGAGAGGCGGCCTGCCCCGACCCAGGGCTCCCTCAGACACATCCTGTCTGCAGCCTCAGTTCCCCTCCTTCAGGAGAGGCCGCGGGGCCCCAGGCCCAGGGTAGCCCGTGCGCTGGGCCTCTTTTGGCCCTTGCTAGGCGCTGCTTTTCCGCAGGAGCTGCCCCTAAACCTGGACGAGCTCCTGCTGCCCGCCGAGGCCGACTACGCCCAGGACCTATATGTCATCGGGGTCCAGGAGGGCTGCTCTGACAGGTAGGGTGCCCCCACCGCCTCACGTCTCCCTGGGAGCGGTGGTTCTGGGGTGGCCTTTGGGGCTGATGCCGCTGTCGCCCGAGACCCCGTGTGGATGAGACGCAGCTGCGGTCAAGCCTGGGCGGCATGCGGGAATCACTCTCTTCTCAGAAGGAGACTTGGAGAATTCACAATAAATGAGATGACCTTGTAATAAAGTAACTGATGAAGAGAGTACAAAGGCAGCAAAGAGCAGCTCGTCACTTAGTCCTCTCCAGGCTCCGAGCCTGACCCCTGCATGGTGTCGCTGACCCGCCCTGGGGTCCGTGGGGGCCGCTGCTCACCTGTCGTAGGTCTGGCAGTGTGTCCTGCGGGAGTTTTGTGAGTTCACCTGGTGAGGGGAGGGGGCTCTGGGTGGCGCACATTGTCCCGGCTCCTCACGCAGCAGCAGGAGGCCTGGCTGGAGCAGAGGTGCCCAGACACTCGGGGATGCTGGGGGACGGGGCTCTGCTGCCCACAGGCCCTGACCTTCAGGTGACGTGGCCCCACTTCTGCCTGGCCTGGAACTTCTCCCTGGCCTCTGCCCAGGGGGGCCGGCAGCTCTTGCTGGAGCCTTCCCCCGGCTCGGGACCCGGCTCCGTGTGGCTGGAGTCTTTTCAAGGTAGCGGGCGACCCGGGCCTGTGCCCGTCACTGGGTGTCCGAGGAGGCCAGGCCTTGCGGGGAGCCCTGTCTCTGGCCCAGCAGGCCCAGCGGCCCCTGGTGTTGCTGCTCCACCCTTGTCCCTGCAGGACGGGGAGGCTGGAGCGTGGGGCTCCGTCCCGGCGGCTCCTCGAGGGGCTCTCTGGGCGCAGTCCCGGGCGGCAGAGCCGGGAGGCTCCGGTCCCCTTCCCAGGCGGCCTCTGCTTCCTCCCGCAGGCGGGAGTGGGAGACGCGCCTGCAGGAGACGCTGGGCCCACACTACGTCATGCTCTACTCGGCGGCCCACGGGGCGCTTTACATGTCCGTGCTCATCCGCCGGGACCTCATCTGGTTCTGCTCAGGTAGGCCTCCCGGGCACCGAGCCCCCGTCACTGCGGCCCTGCCAGCCCTCGGCCCATCCGGGGCCGTGGACACGTGCGCACTGGACGCTGGCAGCGCGGCCACTCTGGGGGCCTTGGGGGCTACGGCGCAGCGGGCCCGATGGCAAGGGGCATCCTGGCTGGGTCAGCCTGCCTTGTCCCCCCGCAGAGGTGGAGAGCTCCACGGTGACCACGCGCATCGGGTCCCAGATCAAAACTAAGGGCGCCCTGGGTGTGAGCTTCACCCTTTTCGGCACCTCCCTCCTCTTCATCACGTCCCACTTCACCTGTAAGTCACGCGCACCGCATCCCAGGCGCTGCTTAGGGGCATGCCTCCCCTCCCTGTCTGTCGAGAGGTAGTGGCCTTAAGAGGCGGTCTGGACGGCAGAGGGTGCTGGGTCCCTCAGCAGCCCCAGGCCCCACGAGGAGACCCTGGCACTCGTGGCTTCCCGTCCTGCCTGGCCCCATTCTGAGCACTGAAAGCAGATCCGTCTGAAGGAAGGCGTCAGCACCTATGCAGCAGATAACTCGGTGGGGTGGGTCACTGTGTAGACGCTGCATGATTAGACCCTGCTGCGGGGCAGTGGGGGGTCATTACCCAGGACTGACCACCCAGGCATCCAGCCTGTGTTCAGAAACCTGCATCTCGAGAGGTGCCCCCGCCCGCTCTGTTCTTGCAGCCGGAGACGGGAAGGTCAGCGAGAGGCTGGTGGACTACGCCAGGACCATCCAGGGCCTCGCCCTGCCCAAGAACGTGCCGGACACCAGCCCCTACCGCTCCGACTCTGGTGAGCCGTCGGGGCACCTGGGGAGGCCTTCCCTTCCCCTCAAGGGGTGGCAGTTTCTGCCTTGTTCTCCAGATAGTTTAACAAACTGTTTAGAGCTTTTGAGAATCAAGGTCAGAAAAGTCTGGAAGGTCAGTAGCCAACCAAAATAAATTCTCTCTGGAAGGAGCTTGGCGCCCGGCTCCTCACCAGGGTGACCGCGCTGGCCCCCTCAGCGGCTGGGCAGACAGGCGTCCACAAGGCCGAGTGGCTTCTACGCAGAACAGGCAGCGCTGGCCTGGGTCCTCGCCCCCCAGCCTCCTTCCTCACGACAGGGCCTCCTGCCCCCTGGCTGTGCTGTGCGGAGCTGAGGAGGGACGGAGGTGTGGGAAGTGTGTCCGCTCATTGTGAGCGTTTGGGCCTCTGTTTGCGGCTGAGACCATCTGTGAGGTTTCAAGATCGTATGTTGCTGTTTGAAATGAAAAAGAAAACCATGAACTCGAATGTCAACCCAGAAAGCTTCGGAGCACATGCCCCCCATGGCCCTGAGCCCCTGACAGGCGGCCGGGGCTTCGACCACATCCCTGGGGCGTCCTTGCCTCCTGTGGCTCTGGGGGTGGGGAGTGGGGGACACAGACCAATCCCTGTCCCTAAGGCCGGGCGAGCTTGGGAAGGGTCGGGCTCACGCATTCTCCGGCTCGTGTCCCAGCGGACGTTACCACCCGGTTCGACGGAGTCTTCTGGTTTGGAGACTTCAACTTCCGCCTGAGTGGGGGGCGCGTGGCCGTGGAGGCCATCCTGAAGCAGGACCTGGGGGCGAACGTGCCGGCCCTGCTGCAGCACGACCAGCTTACCCAGGAGATGAAGAAAGGTGAGGCCCCCTAGGAGGTGCAGACCACGAGGGAGGAGGTGTGGACTACCAGCAAGGAAGTGTAGACCACCAGGGAGGAGGTGTAGACTACCAAGAGGGAGGTACAGACACCCCTGGAAGGGGCAGTCTCCCCGGGGAGGAGATGAGGCCCCCACAGGACGAGGTGTGACCCCCACCCCGGAGGAGGTGCAGCCCGCAGCTGCATGCCAGCTGGGCTGAGGCAAGGCCGGTGCCTGCCCCAGGGTCCATCTTCAAGGGCTTCCAGGAGCCGGACATCCACTTTCTCCCGTCGTATAAGTTTGACATCGGGAAAGACTCCTACGACACCACCTCCAAGCAGAGGACCCCCTCCTACACGGTGAGCCCGCGCCCGCGGCGCCCACCCCACCTCCCTGCGTGGCCGGCTCTGGGGGCGGGGTTTGGACGCGCTCCTGTTTCAGAGCAGGGCCCTCTGTGGGCCACAGGCTTAGGACTAAAGTCAGGTGTGAGAGCAGTACTCCGGGAGCCCTGGGTGTGGTGCTCAGCTCTGGGCCAGGGACTGCACCTCTCTGGGTCTCGTGGTGTTGGGAGCAGTGCCCCTTCCAAGGGTTGTTCTGAAGGCTGGGACGCTGGCCCCTGCTGCTCTCAGAGGAGGCCTGGCACGCAGCACACGCCCCACACTCGTAGTTACTTGAGCCATTTGCTCGGCGCAGCACACTTGAGCCATTCGGGCGCAGCGTGCAGAGGGAGGTGGCCCCCACCAGACCCCAGGCCCCAGGCTGGGCATCTGCGGCTGGCTCTGGGCGAGCCATGGAGGTGGGGTGCAGGGTTTGCCCCTGGCTGCCCCCGTCTGCCCCACAGGGCTGGGTGGGAGCACACGTGGCTTGGGTGAGGGGACGGCACCCAGCACACTGAGCCCCTCCAGCGCCCAATGCCCCTCAGTAAAATGGGCTCCCCAGGGGGCAGAGCTGACTCGGGGCAGGAGCAGCCGGGTGAAGGGTGGACGGGCCAAGCCGTGCAGCAGCACCGCATCATTGGCCTGCCTCCGGCCTTCGTGCAGGACCGGGTCATGTACCGGAGCCGCCACAAGGGTGACATCTGTCCCGTCGAGTATTCCTCCTGTGCTGGGATCAGGACGTCCGACCACCGCCCCGTGTACGGCCTGTTCCGAGTGAAAGTGAGGCCGGGGCGGGACAAGTCAGTATCCTCGTCGCACTGCCTCCCTCTAGGGCTCGGGGCTGGGGCTCAGGGCGGGGGCAGCGAGCACTCCGGAGGGTGTGGCATCCTTGGACCTGGGTGCACACCACTGTCTGGTTGCGTCCTGACACCCCAGATAGGGCAGGGTCCGGCAGCCCCACACAGGGGTGCTGGCTTTAGTTGATCTGAAGTGGCTGTCACGAGAGTGACTCTCAGAGGGTGGGGACCTCGCCTGGCCCCGTGCCCACAAGGCTGGCTGGACCCCCTCTGGGGCAGCAAGAAGGCAGCGTGGGCTATCCTGGAACTGGCCACAGGCGCAGGTGCAGGCCTGTTCAGGGCTAGGTCCTGTCTCTTCCTGATGCGACACAGGGCTGGCATGGGGTCGAGAGAGAGCCCCGCTCGCCCACAGCGTCTCTGCTCAGGGCCATGCCAGCGGTGTGGGTTTGGGGCGGCCTGGAGGAACCGAGGCCCTAGCCCTTCCCAGGCGCCGTGTGCTTGCAGGAAGCACCCGACTCCAGGCGGCCAGTGTCGGGGGCGCCCTCCTGACGGTTCTTTCCCCCACAGCATTCCGCTAGCTGCTGGCAAGTTTGACCGAGAACTGTACTTGATAGGAATTAAAAGACGGATTTCCAAAGAGATTCAGAGGCAGCAAGCACTGAAGAACCAGCACTCCAGCACTGTCTGTACCGTTTCTTGAGGAAGTTTGCGCGGGAGGGTTTGTCACCTACAGCCTGGGAGGATTTCTGATCCCAAAGCCGTGGCAGACGGAAGAGGTTGCAGTTCGGGGCGTCTTGCCCTTTTTGGGGTGTGGTGAACCACCCTGTCGGCCGTCCTACCTTCTTACCAAGAGCCCAACAGGAGGCTGTGGCCTGGAGCGAGCACAGCCCTGAGGGACCAGTGTCCCTTCCTGGAGGGAACCAGCCCGTTTGTCCGCAACAGTCCTGACTCGCCCGCGGAGCCTCCCCTCAGGGCCAGCCGACAGCTCCAGGCGCTCTGGTGGCAAGTCAAACGCCTAGTCGCCTAGTCGCCTAGTCGGGGTTGACCTAGAGCAGCGCGCGCTCTGCAGCCAGTGTTCTGCAGCTGCGCTGACAGACCCTCCCTCACGTCCTGATTGGTGTCTGTCGCCCGGGCCAGCGTTCGCAGCCGCTCCAGTCTGTAGATCTGCGTCCTCCCAGCGGCCCTCCTCTCCTGAGCACAGGTGGCCCAGCACAGGGGGAGGCTGCTCGGGGTCGGGTGACCCTGGGGCCTCAGATCCCACGGGGGCACACCAGGACAAGGCTGAGGCTGAGTCAGTAGAAGCCAACAGGAGGCCAGAGCCAGCCGACCTCCCAGGAGGGAACGCGGTGCCCAATGCTGGGCTAGGACGAGGAGGGCCCCAGCCAATGTTTCAGGGCTGCCTCCTGGTCTCGGGGGGCTGGGCTCCCCTCCAGCCACAGAACCACCTCCCTCTCCTGTCCTGGTTTCAGTGACTTCAGACCATTTGCTCAGCTAACATCAGCCACAAACGGCGTTCCTGTAAGTGGTGCGTTTCCTGGCCTGAGAAGCTGTTAGAATGTCACCACCTCACCAACCTAGGCTGGTGCTCACCAACCACATCCTGGATGTCTTTCTTCAAGGGTTTAGGGCCCATTATTGCTCTTCGCATCTTTATCCCATCTCTTGAAAAAAACATAGGCTTTGAATGTGGGGAAAGCTAGGGGCATTCAATCTAGCCTTTTAAATTATTTATTTTTCCATATTTATATTTTTAAATAAATGCATATATTGAATCTTAAACTCTTCCTGGCCAAAGATTGAGTCCTCAAAAGAAACAGTCTGCATGCACACCCTGTTCTTACAATGTTCTTGCGAGAAAAGGCAGGATGTTGCTCCTGCGTCCATCCTCTGCCCCCGGGGAGACGTGAGCCAGAAAGGGGCTTCCAGAGAAGCAAATACTTCAGACCTGAGGGAATCGTGAGGAAACGAAATGACGATTTCAAAGAATGGTGTATCCAACTTTTATTAGCGTCTGCTTCCAAAATGTGGAGTGTAAGTTTTAAAGCAATACACACCCAACCTTTTGATATGAATGGGAGAAATTCCATCAATGAGACGGCACAGCCAATCCCATCTAATGTCAAGAAACTTCAGATTGTATGTATGTGTAAAATTTTGCTCAAACGAATGTGCCATGGAGTTTCGAGTTAACTGAAAATCTGTTTACAAAGATTTTTGTGGTAATGAGGCTTGAAATGAGGAGGATTTGAAGGACTCCTGCCAGGCATTTTCTCTGACCCACACCAGGGAAGCGATGTCAGTGTGACACGGGCCGGGGGGTTCTGTTCGTGTGGCTCGAGGCCGAGCTTCCTGTCTCTGGGCGGCCACCATACACATCTAACTTTAGTCCCAAAGTTCAGCCAGGGACTAAAACCAGCCACTGGGTTTAGATCAATGGATTTTCATGTGGGAAGTAAGTTTAAAATGCGAATTAATGCAAATGAAGTTGGCCAGTGTCTGGAAAATAAGCTTCATAAAGAATTGTGAAACACGACCGTGTGAGGGTGGTTTGTAAATCCTTCTCAAACACGCTTCACTCCCGTCACCCCTCCAAGTGCATGCCAAGTTCCACACAGGCTGGCTCTGGGGCTCAGGGGCGTGGGGGCAGCGGTGACCCAGCCAGCCTGTCCTCATCCTGGGTTAGGCTCAGAGCGGGTTGTGCAGGGGAGGGAGACGATGACAAAGCAGATGGGGGGAAGATGATGGGATGGGGGCTGGAAGGGTGGCCAGGGCAGGCCCTGAGGGCAACCTCTGGGTAAAGGGGCAGGAGGGAGGGAGAAGCCTGGGGGATGGTATCCAGGGAGAGGGCAGGGGCGGAGGCCGGCAGGGAGATAGAGAACGCTTGTGTTAGCACCAGCTTCCAAAACAGACACGTGTGTGTGGTTAGTGGCAGTTTCTAGAATGTTCCTCAAGCTGCTGGGGGATCAGAAGTTCAACTCCAGCTCTGCAGGAGCTCTGATGGCCTAGGTGGGGTTCACCTCCTCATCTCTTCATGAACTATGTTCCCACCTTAATGCACATTTGCTGTGCAGCCAAACGTCTGCTGCCAGGTACCTGTCCCCGTGTGGTGACCAGGGGGAAAGTCTTTGACACCTGACAATGCACACTGTTGGACCACCTGCCATTTGACTCGGGCTGTCTCCCTCGGCTCCGCCCCCAGCGGACTGGGCATTACGCCCTGCGGAGAGCAGTGCAGGGCCTGGGGCAGACGCAAACAGTCGCTTAGTCTGGAACGTGAGCTGCAGAGGTAGATGACAATAGGCCCAGGCAAAACAAATGCATTAAATAACAGGAGTACCATTTAAACGTTTATTTGACTTCCTCGAACCTCCCTCCCTCTTCCATCTGTACTGCAGAGGCTGGGCTCTTAAAGTATGACTCGGAGACCACGCGCTTCTCCAACAGACCTGTGCAGCCCAATTCTGTGCAAGCCACTGACTGTGTGTGCCACGTAGCTGCCCTCTGAACTAGGGCAGCATGGGAACGACCTGACACGGTTTTGCAGCTTCCCAGGCCCCAGGCTCCCCTACATGGAACCCCAGGGTTCTATGGGTGTCTAACTTTGAGAACCACGAAGCTATCCTATATTACCAAAGTCATCTGACCTTTTGGTTCTCCTGAAACATCTGCACACCCACGGAATCTACAGCTCTTTAGTCTTCTCACCTTTTAAAATGTTTCCAGCCTTTGCTGTTACCACCCACCACCAATTCCAAGAAACCCCAACCCCGCCTCCGTGCATTCTGACACCTCTGAAATCAGAATGAGTCTTTCCATTGAAGGCAAGAGGCTTCACAATATTGGACAATTCTCGGGGAGAAAGGTCTCACTCACCCACTTCCGAGCCTTCTCTGTTTTAGGAAAGTTGTGAGTTATGTAACAATCCCTCCTGTAACCGAGAAGGAAGGAAACACTGCCACCTTATCGCCACAGTGATAGCAGAGGGCCCCAGGGCACCGGCAGCGCTCTGTGAAGCGAGACATGCTCCTGCCTCACCCTGGGACCCGCCACGGTGGTCAGTGACCATCATGAGAGGCGGCAGCTTAGTGGGGGCAGCACAGGCCTCCCAGGATGCCAGGCAGGGTGACAGGCCCACCGGCCTCTGTCATGAGACCGCTTGCACTGACCCGCTGAGTGACCGATATAGCCTCAGGGGACCCACAGCGAGCCCGCCTGCTGAAACTCACGACCTGGGTTCCTACAGCTGCGCTGAACCTTTCTGCACTCCACCTTGTTTCTGGCTGGACTTAAGGTAAACCTTCATCTTTATTCCACTGATTGGCACATCCAAGCCTGAAGGAATGGAAACTGAGCTGTGCTCCGACGACATCCAATCTGTTCAAATTTGAGAAGAGTCCCACAGTCTGCACCGTTTATGAGTTTTTGCACTAAGTTCACATCCAGAAAACCTGTATAAAAATGCGCTCTATCCACAGCTCTCAGCCCGCGTGGGGTCCCGGAGGGCCTCTACCGGAAGAGCCGGTATGTCCTGGGCAGGCGCCCGTCTTTGCTCGACAGCGCCGCCTGGATGTGCTCGTAGGTCGGCAGGTCAGTCAAATCACCCAGCGCGGCCATGGCAGGCTTCCTGCGGAGCATTTGAGAAGCAACTCTCTTGATGTCTTCTGGCTTCACATTGCCTGGCACGGAGAACAAAGAGATGTCAGGGGACTGCCAGATGCCCACACTGACTCCGTCTGTCTCCAGGTCACAGCTGTGGTCACTAAACGGACTGAGTGGGGGGGGAGGTCACCATCTGCCATTACCCCCACCTGCGGGGGAGGGGTGCTGAGGACTCCAGAGGGTCCAGATGCAGCCGTGTGTGGATGGGACGGGGAGTCAGGGGGAAACGAGTTTTTCTTGGTCAACAGGGAGCATCAATGGTTTAAAATTACTCTCAAATGTGGAAGGACGTGCCACTCCAGGAGAGTTAACATAGTTAACAAGAAAGAGCTCCCCGTCTCATGAGTTAACTATATGATGGGTCTGCAGGGAAGGAAAACACAACAACCCTCAGGGCTGCAGGGACAGAAGGGTGAGGTCAGAAAGAGGGGCTGAAGGGCTGTGCAGCTGCACGTGCGGCCCGGCCTGCAGAGGAGGGCACCTGGGAACCACCCCGGGAACACGCCAACCAGTAGGTGTTATTTTGCTGCAGAAGATGAGGCCTTAGGGAGACTGGGTACTGTCACACTCGAGGGTCTGAGGGGGTTCCCCAAGGAAGGACAAGGGTCCAGGCGTGGGGGGGCAAGTGCTGTCCCCGGCAGGACTCCAAGCCCAGGCGACGTGGACCTTTGAGAATCTGATGAAGCTAAGACAAACCTGTCCACACCGAGTCACAAGCAATAAAGTTTGACATATAACTGGAGAAAGTTCAAGTTCCTGAAGGTCACTCGTGGGAGGCCACGGAAATATGGGGCTGAGACACCTGCCACAGAGCCACAAAGGACAACAATCATCGGAGCTACTGCCTCTCCACGTGCAGTACAGCACCGCACCGAGCACTTTCCATCCATCGTCTGATTGAACCCGCTTGAAAACCCGGAGAACTAGTGAAAGGCCCTTTTACGAGGGGGGCATGAAAAGCTGGGGTCCCACAGATAAGGTACACAGTTAACACGTGGCAGGGCTGGGAAGTGAGCCTGGTAAAGGACGAAGGCGTAGGGTGCGGGAGCCAGCCCACAGGAGGCCCACGACTGTCTTCTGGGAGGGAGAGAAGTCTCATCTGAGCCAAGTAGGCGTCCTCAGGCCCCAGGGGAGCACAGTACTCACGGATGAGCGCGCACAGCTCATGGGGCAGCTTTCTGGAACACGTGGCCAGCACTTGTCTCCCCACGTCCTCGAAGATCACAGGCCTGGACTCCAGGTTCATCATGAGCATGGACATCAGCTGCGTCTTGGCTCGCTCCAGCTCCACCTGGGGGGTCAACAACCAGGCCGCATGGCTCAGTGCACAGCAGGCTCACGCACTGTCACCCAGTCACTCAGACGCCTCGGCCAGCAGAGCAGCTGACGAAAGGCATCCTGGCCACACTTTACCCAAGGCAGAAATAAGGCAAGACGGGCTCCACCACCTGCTGGGCTCGCAGGCCCACGTCACGAGCAATCCTGCCTGCTTCCTCCGCAATTTCTGGGTCAGGGCCTTTGCCACATTTGAAATAAAGAAGTGTGCTTCCCTTGAATTCTTATTTACTGTTTAAGGAGTTTGCCATGCAGCATGGGAATAGTAAAGAATCAAATACCCAAACTCCAGGACCCCAAAGCTGATCACACGTTGAAATCATGACGAAAATAAAATCAACACAGATCCTGGGGCTCCACCCAAACCCCAGGTGCAGGGCCCAGGAAACTGTGTTCCCCACACTCCCTGAAAAACTCTGAGGGAAACAACTCAATCCACCAAGTCTGTATCCCGAGCCTCTCTAAGTATGAAATTTAAACACCTGACCAGTGAATTACGTTCATGAAGTCCAGCCTGGAATGAGGGCACAGAAACGGCACTGGGTGAGAAATTAACCTGGGAGCTATCAGACTTTAAAGAACAAATACTGGAAACCATATTGGCTGCTGAGATTCTGTACCTTTTTTTTTTGTTGTTGAGGAAGATTGGCCCTGTGCTAACATCTGTTGCCAATCTTCCTCTTTTTCTTTTTTTCTCCCCAAAGGCCCAGTACATAATTGTGTATCATAATTGTAGAGTGGGATGCCGCCTCAGCATGGCTTGATGAGTGGTAAGTAGGTCCACGCCCAGGATCCGAACCAGCGAACCCTGGGCCGCCGCCGCAGTGCAACGTGAGAACTTAACCCTTAGGCCATGGGGCCAGCCCCTGTGACGTTTCTCAAGTAAAATAATTCCTAACTTAAGACAGGTTTTTTAATTTTTGCAATTTCAGGCAAATACTTGAAATGTACCTCAAGTTGACTTCACATTAGTGGAAAATACTGTTTTTCTAGCAGGACACTAATGGAACAATCAAGGGTTAACTTTTATTTTTTTTTTTTTTATTTTTTTTTATTTTTTTTTTTTTTAAAGATTTTATTTATTCAGTTTTTTCCCCCCAAAGCCCCAGTAGATAGTTGTATGTCATAGGTTCACATCCTTCTAGTTGCTGTACGTGGGACTCGGCCTCACGTTGGACGGAGAAGTGGTGCCTCGGGGCGCTCCCGGGATCCGAACCCGGGCCGCCAGCATCAGAGCGCGCGCACTTAACCGCTAAGCCACGGGGCCGGCCCAAGGGTTAACTTTTAAATGCATTTTTATTTTTTAAATAATGCCTTCTTTTTCTGATTAAAAAGAGATTATGTGATTACTGCAGAAAACACAGAACGTGCAAAAAAGAAGATCTAAAGATGAAGCACGTGCGCCAGCCCCCAGAGGCATACGGCTCACATGCTGGGTTTCTCTGTCTGGTACTTTCTCTGTGCGTGTGCACATGCACACACTTCTATATACAGCACGTATAGAAAATCTGCTTATTTGTACCAGTTCTGGTCTAGGAAGTAGCAAGGTTTCTAAACATCTAAGGTATCAAAAAACTAAGCTTAAAAAAACAAGGAAACAAAAACTTAGGTTAAAACATAAAATGGAGCCAGGGAAAAGGCAGGAAAATGCCCGAGTGGCTCATTCAGTACGATGCTGCCCTAACTCACATCCTTTTAAGGGCTGAGAAGGGGGCACCGACTTCTCCACAGCAGCTCCTTCAGGGAAGCAGAAAACGGACACGAGTAGTCACAGGACGCACCGGTCAGTCAGATGCAGACCGAGTGCTGGGGAAGCACGGCGCATGGTTCTCAGGACTAAGCCCAGGGAGGAGGGGCTCCCCACAGGCTGGCCTGTCTGGCTGGGATACTGGTGTTGGGGGCACCCTGACAGAGCAGAGTTCCCTGCTGTCCAGCGCTGTGGGACGCTGGGAAATGGCTCCAAGCCCTACTCACCACATCCACAGTTCCAGCCATCAGAATGAACTCCTTCGTGATGATTTCCACCATTTCTCGAACCTAGGGAAGAGAGCACAGAGATGAAGAGCGATCTCAACCCGCCAGCCTGTTCTGGTCCCAGCAGTGAACTGCCCTGCTCTGAAGGAGCAGCTTCCTGTCCTGAGACCTGACCTGCAGCGGAAACGAGGCTGGCAGGCGCAGCCCGGCCCTCACCTGTCTAGGGTCGGCACTGGCGTGAATGCACAGGAGGCCCGTGTCCTCGTAGCTGTGGTGGTAGGAGGTTGCATTGTACATCCAGTGGTGCCTGTGGGGAACGTAGAGAAGGGGACACATGGAAAGTGGCATCACAGTCTAAAAGCACCCTCGGCTGGGCCTAGTAACCCTGAGGACAGCCAGGTGAGAAGCATCCAACCTACCTGTTGAGCACATTGAGATAGAGCCGGGTGAACATGCCCTTGCCAGGCCCGCCGGCTGAGAAGGATCCACCTCCTCCCATCATCATGTTCAGCACAGCAAAGGGGATGAAGTCTCCCTCCTGCGGGAGACAGAGGGCAGAGCTCAGCCGAGAGAGGCTCCCGGCCCATGGACGCACCATCTGACCCCGCCGGGACTTACCAAGAAGGAGCAGCTCTCCAGCCCTATCATGATGTGCGTGAGCTCGGGGAACGGGGCTGGGCCCAGGCTGACACTGGACATGTCTTTTTCCAGCTGTAACCAAGAAGAGTGACCGAGTGTACCCACATGAAAACCCACCAGGGTTCGCAAACATCTCGGGTCAGATCACCTTAAAAACGCTTCTACAGAAATCATACACAAACGTCAGCAAACTCCCTCTAGAGGCAAGAACTATCCCTGACCTTCTGCCAAAGCTCAACTCAGTCCTGACAAGCTCTCAGCTCCAGAAAAGGAACACGCGTCAGGCTCTGAGACCAGAAGGTGTAATAGTGAACTCTAACACGGCAGACTACGTATAAGAACACACCAAAAACAGAAATCAAAGAAAGCATCTATCCCCCAAGGTCACGGATCTTTTCCGTCACTGCTTTACCTTGACAATCCCCCCGGTGTACTGTGCTACAGATCTATCAACATCGACAGCCTTCTCACTTCCCCAGGCTGGCTGGGTTCCCAGGAGGTACTTTCTGGCGCATTCCACCAGGTGGTCGTGCTCGACTCCCACCCCAGCCAGCACCATGCGGTCTGGGGTATAGTAGTTTCTCAGGTAGGAATGAAGTACTTTTCGGTCAATCTTTGCGATATTTTCTGTGGGGCAGAAACGGTGGAGGCCAACTGTGTTTCCCCTGTAAGCAGCCTAATAAAGGAAGCAGAGAGAAGCACAAGTTGCAATGGGAACACAACTAGGTCTCCTCGAGCAAGCTGGGCCTGCTGTACCCCGCCAGGCTCAGACAAGCCCACCAGTGGCTTATTTTAGCTACGGTTTGGTGGCAGCAGCTTTGTGTGTTTATAAAAATAATACAATCTACCTCTCCAGTATGAAAAGCCATAAAATTGTAAAACAAAAGGCTCATTCTAGAAATGGAGTGATAAAGATCCTATTACTCTAAGAACTGGAAAATTAAAAACTTGCAAAGATAGCAGATTCAGAAATTAAGAATGTTCTGTCAACACTCGTAACCTGTGAGGATGACAACAGGCAGGCCAACAACCCCCTCCCAACTGCCCTGGTGTCAGGAGGGCCACTGCCATGGAGGTGGGGCACCTGTGGGTTTTCTGCGTCACCTCGTGAATCATCTCGGTGAGAAGTGGTTCTGGGTCAGGCCGCATGTTGATGTCCTCCAGCTCAAACTGGACAGCCATTCGAGTCATCTCAAGTTCTTCATCTGCAAAGACCCAAAGACAAGGCTCAGACTGCACGGGCGAGGACGGAGACCACACCGAGCCCGAGTCGCCAAGCGGGGCCAAGCGTGGTTGGTTGGTGGACGTCGGCAGAGTCTCCTCTGCCTTCATCCGGGGCAGACCTGGGGTACTTGTGTGAGGAAGTGGGTGAGCGCCAGGCGGGCAGGGGCCTGGAGGATTCGGGCCTCTCTTCTGGCTCTGCCACGAAGCAGCCACGTGGACCTGCTGAGCCTCAGCCACCTCCTCGTAAGAAGCACTCAGGTCCCTGACCTGTCTGTCCCAGTGTGTTGCTATAAGGATAAAATGACCCTGGGTGGGACGGCGCTTGGAACGCAGAGGCACAGACCAATGGCAGGGGTGCCATTTCATCAGCTAACTGGAACAAGGACCAGAAAGATCTTAACCTGGAATTGCAGCCTTGGAACACCAAGGCCAGGCTGCTGTGAAACAGAGCTGGATTAGACCCACTGAAACAGTCAGCATGGCCCCTCTCCCAGCCCTCTCCTGGCAGGGAGCTCAAAGTCCTGCCATTGGCAAGGCCAAGGAAGAGAAGGGAGACAGGACGTGGAAACTTTTAGTAGCATGTTAGTCAGGGTGTTTAAAGACAGTCTGAGATGCCTTTCTGAAATGAAAGAACGAATTTCACTAAAAATGTCAGAGCGCAGAGAGATGTGTGAAACTATTAAGCATCAAGGACTTTTCCAACCAACAGCACTATTTCCAATGAAATTGTGCCAACTGTCACCGTAGGTGAGCCCAAGGGCCCCAATAACACAGGGCTGTCCCCAGGGGCAGTGCTTCAGCACCCCTCCCAGGATCCCGGCCCCCTCGAGAGGCCTGCGTGCTCACCTGTTAGCCTGGGGTGCAGGACCACGTCAGCCAGCAAGCCAACCACGGTGTCTAGGCCTTTAGAATCAGCAGACACAGCATACATGGTGGTGTCTCTGGAAAAAACCCACACTGCTGGGTTTTTTCACAAAAGGTGAAAAAGGTCACAAAAGGTATACACCAGTGGGGATTTTCATCATTCTGCACGAAGGATCAGCACACACGTGGTGCTTTTTCCCTTTGCCCGTCTAACAGGGTAAACTCCTGGCAGGCAGGAACCACAACTGCACGCAGGTTACGCACTGGACTAGAAGACAGCGTCCAGCCAACATGGAAGAGAGCCAGTTCCGAGAGGTTTTCACAAGCACTGGCTCCCTCCAAGGTGAACCACTTCATCCCGTGCTTCCTGAGCGTCTGCCGTATGAACTGACTGGTCAACATGGGAATGTGCCTGGCCTTAGATGGTTGGGGCACAGAAACTGGTTGTAGCATTAGCTCACAGCACGAGGCACTGTGATCAGACATGCACAGAGTCAGCCAGGGAAGGCAGAGCATGACAACCACAGAACCCCGAGGTGGAGCACAGTCAAGCAGGAGACCGTGCAGAACAGACACAACTGCCATGCAGACAAGAGTGAGCCCCCCAGGGGGACAGGGCCACCAGTGTCTTTGAAGATGCACGTGGCAGAGCAGCAGAAACAAAAGCCTGAGCTGACAATTAGTGGGCTCTGTTGGAGTCAGGACACTGGCCTGTCTGACCAGAGGGAGTTCCCTGGGGAGACGGAGGAAGAGATTTGAGGCAAGAACATGCAGGATCTAACACTAGGCAATGAGTGTGGACTTCATTCATGGGCAGCTGAGAACTGGTGGTTTCTGAATACACGGTTTTTGAAAATTTGAATACACTGCCTCCCTCCTAACTCTAATTCTTGGCATTTTAGCCATCTTTTACATGTAATTTTTTAGCATTCAAATTTAAATAACTGCTTAGAAAATTGTGATCTTTGTCCCCCCTCCTCACATTGCCCTGAACAGAGCTTTCTGAATGTACCCCACACCTGGCAGACAAACACCACCTGCCGTTATCCACAGCAGCTCCACCCCGTCTGTGCTCCAGCTACACACTGGACTACTCCCTGTCCCCAGATGGACCACTGCCTCTCCCAGGTTGAGCCTTTGTACCTGCTGCTTGCTGTCTCAGCTGCCTCCTTCCTTCATCTTCCTGGCAAACTCCTTCAAGAACCAGCCCCAGTGTCGAGTTGCCCGTCATTCCTTTCCTGACTCCTAGACCAAGCTAGCTGCTTGTCCCCTACGCTCCTACCACCCTTGGTTCCTGGCTCTCGTGTACATTACCTGTGGTGTGGCCCTCTGCCCAATCTGTGAGCATCCTGGAGACAGGGCCTGCTCTGCAGCCCAGTGCCCGGCCAGCAGCCTGGGTCAAATGACAGGGTGAGCACCCTGCTGGGGACTGCTTGGCCTTGGAAGCGTGTTCCTCTGTGTGAGTGCTGCCACCTGTGTTTTGCCCCTCCATTCTCCACCCAACTCTCTGCCAGGCCAGGGCTCACTTCTCACCGTTAACCCCCACAGCCTCTCCAAGGGGCAGGGCCCAGCAGGACTCTAACCAAGGATGAGAACAATAGTTCTACACGGATGCAAAATAAGCCTGTACGTAAAAGCTGGTCTACCTTGATGTCTGGCAGTCACAAATACCTCCATGCTTTTCCAGGGTAAGCAAGATTTCATCTTTGCTGTTAAATCGATCAGTAGACTAGTGGAAAAGAAAAATAAGAAAACCTAAATAAGCAATCCAAAACAACCTGTCATATACTATTTTTAAGAAGAAAATTTACTTTTGCTTTCAAAACACATGAACTCAAATTATCTCTTAACTTAAAAACCTTTTATTAGCATTAACCTGGCAACTTAATCTTTTATTAAAATAACAGCTCTAGAACAGCAAAACTTGATATTCTTCCCAACTATAGTCTCAAAAATCAGAAATTGTACACTGACCGAAAATGCCAATTTTTCCAAAAAGTGAGCAATTCCACTAAGATATTTTGCTTCATATCTTGATCCTGAATTAATAAGAACTGGCAATAGAAAGAAAATTGACAGATTAAATCAGATGTTCAAAAGGGAAGATTTAATCAAAAGAAACTTATTAAAATCGTGACTATGACTAAATAGCTAGATTTAACTATTTAAGGGTGATAGATGTTTGTTATCTTGATTATCATGATTTCACAGCTATAGACATACATCAACATTTATGGGATTGTATGCTTTACATTTGCGCTGAAAAATTTTTAGAATTACAGAAAGGTAGAATAAGGAAAATACCCAACACTAAAACAGCCACTGTCCATACTCTGATGACTAAGTTTTCAGATTCTACACCATGCTCTTGCACTCCGGATACAATTCATAAATGATGTACTGATTACAACTGACAGTCAACCCGAGCACGTGCGAGCTCAAACAAGTGGGACTGCGCACAACTCTACCCACAGTACTTACTTCCTACCGTACAAAACTGTCCAAACTTATTTTGGGATGCCACGCGAAGCCCATTATCCAGTGTGGTAACTTTGGTTTCAAACTTTTCCTGTCCATCGACTGTAGCAAAAACAGGCTTGGGTACTCCGGGTAAGGGAGAAGAGAGGGGGATGCTGGGATAGGCACCGCCACTACTGAACTGCCTGCATGCAGGGGCTTCGAACCTAAAACAGAGAAAGTGGCCCAGTTACAACAAACTGGAGACACGGAACCTGCGGCGACGACTCAGGTGCAGTTAGTTGTGTTTTGTCCGTATTAAAAGTCAACACCTCCCCTTCTGAAGGATTTGTTTCTAGACGCCTCAAGAAGCAGAGGAGTGATCAAGAGCACCACTGCTGAGTACAAATCCCGGCTCAGCCCAGGAACCTGCAGTGAGCTGGTTCAGTTCTTTGGGCCTTAACTGCCACCTCGGTAAAAGAGACAGGAATAACAGCCCCTCACTCTGAGCGGGGTGGCCAGTTAAGTCAGCTCCTACAGACGCGGCACCAAGCACAGCTCTGCCCTTCGGCAGCCACACTGGAGTCTAAAAAGAAGCCACACCCCCTAACCTGGCCCCGAAGGCCCTGCGGGTCTGGCTCTGACTCCCTCTCCAAACTCATCTCCTAAAACCCGTCCCCCCAGCCCCCAGTAGGTCCCCATCACAGTGGCCTGGGGGCCCACTCCTGGAACACACTTGGGTCCTCATCCCCAAAGCTTTTGTCTCACTATTCCAGGCCTGCGGTGGCCTCACCCGCACACACGGACCCTTCTCTCATTCTCCATCTCTTCCCTTAATGTCGCCTCCTCAGGCTACCCCTCCTCGTTCTACCTCAAGTTAGCCTCTCCTGGCACTTTCTACCACTGAACGCTGCTCTTTACTTCAAAGCACCTATACGATCGCTGATACTTTGTGCTCGCTCCTCTCTGTGTCCACTGCCTGGGGACAGCAACGGTGTCTCTGTTCCCGCCACATCCCTGCGCCCGACACAGCGCTTGGATATAACGAGGGGTCAACAGCTACCTGTTGCTTGAGTGCCCGCGCCAGTGTGGGAAGAGACGGGCCCGGCCCCCGGGGCGGACGGAAAAACCCAGATATCAACAGGCGAGGGGACAGAGCAGGGTAGTCAAGGGCACCGCTTTGGGGCCGACGGAGTCCGGGCTCTGGGCTCTAGAGGGCCGGCCTCCTAAGGGGCAGCGGCAGGAAGGGGCCGGGCGGGAGGACACGTGGCCTCAGACGAGCCCCGTGGGCCCGAGAGGAGAGGGTTGGAGAGGGCCCCGCAGCCGGGGAGAGGAGAGACGGACGGGGATCGAGGCCCGGGGCGCCAGGCGGGGAGGAGCCCCCGTCGCCCCGGGGACCAGGCCGGGGTCCTGCAGCCCGAGCGCGACCCCCCGGCGCCGCGTTCGCGCATGGGC